CCTCGGGGAAGACCCACAGCTCAGAGAGCTTTGCAGCAGATAACGGTAGCAATGTGTGACTGGGGCAAGCGTGGGATGTTTCAAAGATCTATCAATGGTACATATTCTACTTTGGGAGGTCAGAGAGGGCCTTCAGGAAAACATTTTCATGTTCATTGGAATAATTTCTGCACATCCTACAGGTGGTAGCTGAAATGTAACTTCTTTACATTATAATCAGCAGAAATGTCGGTTAAAACTTCTGCCTAACAATACTAACTTTACCTTCTGCAGTAGAACAAATGCCGTTTTTAAATTCAAGTATTTGAACACAGTTATCAGCTGATTCTCAGTCTCTTCAATAGAGCTCAGTAACTGACATAGAGTATGCATTACATAAATATTTCTTGAATGAATGAATGCATGAATGCATGAATGAATGAATGAATGAACGAATGGAGAAAAGTCTAGCTGGAACTATAAAGTGCAATGCAGATTCAATAGAATATTTTATTTTGTAATTTTTTAAAAAATATTTTATTTATTTATCTGACAGATCACAAGTAGGCAGAGAGGCAGGCAGAGAGAGAGGGGGAAGCAGGCTCCTTGCTGAGCAGAGAGCCCGATGCCAGCTCGATCCCAGGACCCTGAGACCATGACCTGAGCCCAAGGCAGAGGCTTAACCCACTGAGCCACCCAGGTGCCCCCAATAGAACATTTTAAAATCTATTGTTTTTCATTTCTTTTTACATTCTTTTTCTTCCTAATGAGATATAGTTCCAATCAATTTAACAGTGCCTGTGTGTGTGTGTGTGTGTGTGTGTGTGTGTGTGTGTGTACTTGGAGAATTAGAGGAGTATTAGAGTTCCAACACCTGTCTCAGGGTGTGACTCATTCTATGAGCCATAAGAGTCTTTGCCTATCACTTTCATCATTAATTTATATTTCTTTAATAAACGTATAGTACGTGCCAAATCTATTCAAAGCATTATGCCAGGCACTAGGAATGAAGAAAGGAATAAAGATCTATTCCTTGCTCACTGTCAAATGGGAGAGCAGACATACACAGATAACTAAAAATGTCCAAAATTAGAAAATAGCCCAATCTAGTCTTTCCAGGGAAAACTCATCTATAATAACAGGGTAGTATTACTACACATTTATCTTTTAAAACATCAGGTGAAAAAAGCGCAGGCTTCTGTTTATATTGAACTATTTAAATCTAATCAAAATCCAACAACGCTGTGCTGGCTTACATCAAGTTTTCCTTCACTTATTCATGTTCTCCGAGCTCAGGCACTACGAGCATATAAGTATCTATTAGCTAAGTGGCAGAAACAGGTTATATCATCTGTCGCACAGGGAACCACTCCTACTCTCTGCATGCCAGCACAGTTATATGAGGGGCAGCGGGCACACAAAGGGGGTGAAGCTTGGAAATTAATCCGACACGTTCTCACCTGCTGGGAAACCTGGCCAGTGTTCTTCCCAAGAGAAAGTATGTTTCTGAAAAGCAATCATCAGTCCATAATGCGATGACTCCTTCTTCCTCTACTCATTACGTTGAGTGTGTGTTGAGGTCCTACCATGAGGTAGGAGGAGTTCCTTCCTGAGGTTGGGAGTGTGAGTAAGATACCCTCTGTCAAGACTGGAGTCAGAAATCCTTCCAATAGCAAATCTGCTCAAGTCACAGACATGCATAAAAGGACTTCATACTGGCCTTTGGATGAAGACCAAGGTCCACGACAGCTGAAAGACTCTGTAGGACCTGATCATTCCAGCTCTCCAGTCTCTCCTGTAATCTCCCAACCTCTGCCACCCTTGTGTTCTGAAATTCCTTGACCATGTTGTGCCTCTCTCTGGCCTTCCACATGCTGTTCCCTTGGGCACACACCATCAGGACGCCTCCTACTCAGCTCTTTCCTTCCTTCCACTCACTAAGCACAGTCTTCAAGCTGTAACGTAAATACCTCATTTCCCCTGACTTGCAGAGCATCTGCAACAACACGGTCACCCTTCCAGTGTCTGCTTAACCAGCGCCAGGCGTGCCTGGACGTGATCAAGTTCATTTCTTATTGCATGTCCCCGGAGCCTCGCTCACAGATGGGGACTTAGTGGGCACAGGTGTGTAAACACACATAGGCATACGTACATGCATATTTATATATATGTGTGTGTCTAGTGGAATGTCTATATCTCTACATCTATATCTATCTATCTATCTATCTAGTAGAAACCTTTTATCTTATTCAGAGCTGTAGTCAGATAAATGAAGAAGTTAGTTGAAGGAGGAATTATAAAGACCGGACACGTACCTTAATATTTCAGTTTAATACAACACACATAGGTGTACATTTATTCACCAATCTTTTGATATAGTGAAAAATCTTTTTCTTTGTAAATGAGGCTGTGGTTTGGCGTTTTGTTTTGTTTTTCTCGCAAACTGTAATCACGATGCATTGGTCTATGATTTGCATTTTGAAAGACACTTAGCTCAAAGACACACTGCCCATCTACCTGAGTTGCAGAAACTTTAACATTATTTACATCCCACTCCTGACTTTTCTGGTTGTCTTGACTAACCTTAATTTGATAGCAATTTATTTTTAGGGAATTGCTCTCATTAAGTCTTTCATGAAAATAACACAGTTTTCATAGGGTAACTTTCTTTTTACAGTAAATTTGTCAGTGTTTGCAGTATTAATTAAGTGATGTGATTATGATAAATATAGCTAGCATAAACGGGGTTAGGGACAAACTCAGTTGACTTTTGGCAAATTTATATTCCTAGCTAATGGGAGCAGAAGTGCTGGGTGTATCTTTAAACTACTTTAAGCGAGTGTGATCAAGTTAGACTTGCTGTTGGAAAGATACTGACTCCAGTCTTGAGAGAGTCTATCTTGGTCACACTCCCAACCTCAGGAAGGAATTTATCCTACCTCATAGACTTCTGGAAAGCAATCATCAGTCCATACTGATGACTCCTTTTTTTGTTTACTCATTACACCAAGCCTGTGCTGAGCTCCTACCATGAGGTGGTATGAGTCATTGCATTGTGGATTAATGATTGCTCTTTGGAAACGAACCTTCACTTGGGAGGAACAAATGCGGGGTTTCAGGGCAGGTGAGGATGTACCGGGTTAATTTCCAAGTTCCACCCCGTCCGTGTTGTGTGAAGACAGTAGGAAAGGCTGATACAACCTATTTTTTTTTTTTTTTTTTTTGCCACTTAGCTAAGATCTAGCTAAGAAGCTTATGGTGGCTGAGGTTGGAGAATTTGATAACTGAAGGATAACGTGATGCCAGCCAGGATTGCTTAGCTGGATCGGTTAGTGGGTTAAATAGCTCCCAGCTGCCGAGCTTGTTCGGGGCACCCAGGCCATCAGTTAGAATGTTTTGCTCAGTAAGTGGAGAGTGTTAGCGAATCTGGCTGAGTCAGGAGTGCCATTCAAGTAGAAGTCAGTTAAGAGAGCCTTCTCTCATTGTCAAGTAAATATTCTTTAGGCACTAAAAACCTAGAGAGATGAAGCACAGATTAAAATAGGGTATAGAGTGAGCTGGCAGAGGGATGTGGAGAGTGCAAAGGGAGTGGAATTGTGTATTCAGGGGAGGACCAGGTCCGGAAAACCTTGGCTTTGGTGCCAGCTACTGTGGAAAGTCGTGAATGAGATCTCAGTTTGTTTCATTGGTGATCCTGTTCCTGATTCCAAGACATAAAATATTGTATTTTTTACAAAAATCAGAATTTTTTTTTCTTGTTTTATAGAGTCCTTCCCAAACTAATTAGAATAACGGAGGTTTTGCTTGGGTTTGTAAGGCAATGTGAAGATCAGAAAGCTATTATTAGCAATTCGAGCTGCAACAGAAAATATTTCCTGTAAGCCATGTTGGAATCTTTTCCAAATGTATTCCCCCCAAGATTTTTGCTAGCTGCCTCCCTCCCACAGGTATCACACGTGTATCCTTGAGGAAGATATCACCCAATATACATTCGATTAAAATAGATAATGTGAAGCGTTCCCAAATTGCTTCTTAATAAAAATTACTTCCAGGCCTGGGTGTAAGATGTATGAATAAAGGTGCATTGTGTGAGAATGCTGTAAGAACACAAAATATGATGAGAATTGTAATATTGTAAAAATATTACAAGAGAATAACACATTTCTGCTGTTGTGGTCTGTGCATTTCTTCCTGGAGACAGGCATCCAAGAGGTTGTGAGATTCGAGTAACTAGTTTTTTGGTTTTTGTTTTTGGTAAAGAATTTATATCTACATTTCAGATAGTTATCACAACCTACATTCGCATATTTCTCCTATCCTTAGAAAATTATATCATCCTATAGGATAAGTGGATAATCCTTTCTTGGATTGCCCTAAGATTACTTTAAAAAGGAGAAAAAATAATTCAGGGTGCATATTACAGATAGTTTGCTGCTGAATGCAACTGTGGAGAGCTGAAGCAGAGGAATAAAAATTCACATTAAATAGACCCAGGACATTTCAGAAAATGTAATCCCTAAAAATGAATTTTTGAACAAATGGGAAATGATGAGAAAAAAAAAAATGTAGTCCAAACCATGTCCTGTATTTGGAATAATTCCCTCAAGAAAATTCATATTCAAATTCTGGGGCTCAGATTCCATTTTCTAAATGTGATAGACTTTCATTCATTCATTTGGTCTCAATTTCTAATTGATCATAGATTACAAGAGTGCAGAAATGGAAACTGACATTTAAAAATCCTGAGATTTTAGTGTATAATTCTTGTTAATAGGATTTGAGTTCATGCCTAATTGCATTTATGATCAATGTTCAAGTAGAGGTTGTTTTTGCATAAAAAAATTTTTTATGCCTAATTAAGCTTTACCAGGGGAAAAACATACCAGGAATTTAAACTTTGCTACCATTCGTTTTTAAGGTAGCTTTTATCTGATCTAATTAAAAGTCAACTCTGTCATTCTGAAACCTTAAAGATAAATGTGCTAGTTAATTTATCCTGTTTTTTTTTTCTTTTATGGCAGATTAAATACAAAGAAAAATTTGATAATGAAATGAAGGATAAGAAACATCATTACAATCCTCTGGAAAGTGCTTCTTTTAGGCAAAGTCAGCTTGCCACCACACTGGTGAGCGATGTAAGTTACTTTGTGATTCGGGAATTATGATTCATAGAAAATTATTTTCAATATCTTTTGACTCTTGCATTTTCAGAACCCAAGTGTATTGCAATTACTTATACTTAAGATCATGTAGTTTCCAAGTAATTTTAGTTGAAAACACTGAAGCATATTTTCCTGAAGCTTTTTTGAGAAAAATGTATTATTGTAAGTTACTATTAATGGTTACTGATTGCTATTTAGTTAATAAGTAGGAATAGTATTGCTAATAAAAACTGTTATATGGGATCAAGCGTAGAAATAGATTACAGAGTTTGGCAAAAAAAGTAGTGTGTAGTATCTTAAATTAGTGGTTGTGACAACAGTTAACTCATGTAATTATGCCCAGGAAATTGGGCTTCTGTAAAGTACAACCTAGTGTACGGTAGTTTATAATAAAGAGATATTTAGAAATTGCCCTTTGTAAGGGCTTATGGGTTCTTTCCCATCCCTTATGTAAATGCTCGGAAATACTTCTTCACAGATTTGATTTCATTCTGTTTTTTTTTTTTTTTAAATAATTAAGTTTCACTTTACAAGAAAAGATGCCTTAAATTTTTTATTAGAATTAGGCAAAGTGTGAAAATGGAAACGGGAAAAATAGACCCCTTTGCTATAGTTGAAGGACATATGGAGTCCCTTTACACGTATTAAGATGAAGAATTGTTGAACTGTTGCTTTGTTAGATCATTTAAACCTTTCAAACTCCTGCCAGGTTGGTGGGACTCCGCGTCTCTTACTTTCACTAATGTTTAGTGTGTGTTATTTGTGTGCCTTAACTCACTTGTGTTTGTTACCAGCAACTGAAATGGGTCTTTTGGGATCACTGGGAATATCAGAACGGCTTCCTTTTCTTTTGTTTTTATCCTGTGTGTGTGTAAAAGTGTAAAGCAAATAGAGTTGGAATACACTTAAAGGAACCCAGAGCATGGAGCCTGGAAGCAGGAGGTTTTGAATCAGACAGCTAGGATTTGAATCCTGTTCTACCTCCTCTAATACTATCCCTTCATCTTTCTGTGCCTCAGTTTACTTATCTGTAAAATGGAGATGCTTAAAAATACCTCTCCACTAGGGTTGTTGTGGAGATTAAATACGTACTACGTGTAAAGTGGTTAGAAAAGTGTTGGCACACAATAAGTGGTCAAATACTTTGTATTAATATTTTAATATTATGAGTACTAATATTATTGTATTTTCAAAACAGCTGGTTAAAAAAAAAAAGTTGGCAATAGGATGAAAAACGCTGAAAGTCCTGAAATTGCTCCAAAATGTAATTAAAATACAGTAGTAATTTCTAAAGAATATAGTAGCTGGTATTTTTGTTTCGAAGACAGAGTGCCTATTAAAATTACTTGATTCTGTGAACATCACTCTTTTAAAATATGTAAACAATGAAAGCAATTATCAAAATATGTGTAAGTCCCCGGAAGTTAACTTTTTTACTCATTCAGTAGTAAACGAGCACCACCTAGTGGCTATGTGTATATTTGCCTGTTAATTTCCCACTGCCTGGTACTTCCTGATGTATTAAAAATTAATGATGGCCATAAGGCAAAAGCACCTTTTTCTTCTCTTAGATGGTATTTTGTTCCACGTTATTTTCATAGGTGAAGTACAAGAAAGACATTCAAAGTATGCACGAGCCAGTCTCAGATCTCCCAAACCTGTTTTTAGAGCATGCTTTGAAAACCAGCAAAATGCTCAGCGGAGTAAGTCTGTTGGATGGCAACTCAAAGTGCCCTGTGTCTCCACAGAGCCAGGCTGCCTGCAGATGCCTCATGAGCACACCTGCTTCCTTCCAGAGCACCACGCCTCCCTGAATAACTAACTATTGGGAAAGTAGTGGCTTGCTTTCTTAAACCCCACCAAAGCTGTGCTCTACGAAGGGGCTTCTCGCTGGCTCTTTACTATCTCTTCAGTGCAAACTCTCTCATTGAAACAACTATGCTTCAAAGCCCATGGGCAAGTGTTCTTTCTGTCTTTCTTCTTCCCAGTTAGATGGAAGCCACTTGGCAGTCAGGCTTAAATCAAGGATTTCTTCTTTTATGCACTCTGCTCTTTTCTAGAGCAGAGTGTCTGGGATTAGGTCCCAGTAACACACAAAATTGTCTAATTTGTATTTTCCCTGAAAATAAATCCTACATCACATGACACTCTACTTTGAGTCTTGTGAGGGTTTCCACAGTTTCTTCAGAGCGATTAGGGGGAGCGAGTGGTTTTTTCATGTTTGTGTACGCTGCCAAGTGATCATTCCATCAGAACTCACCTCCAGGATGCTGTTTCAAACATTCAATGTGTGTGGATCCTGACTTCATGGGTTCTCAAAAGTGATGACCCCGGATCACCTGTGCCCCACTGCTGACATCTCAGAATGGTTCATGGTGACGATGAACTGTAATTTGACCTCACTTTTTTTCTGCATCTATTTTCATAATGACTCACTCACATGCTCACCCACTTGCTCAGAATTATCCAGATGTGTTGAATATCTGCTTTGGGCCAGGTACGATCAGATGGAAAATTATGTTGGGCAAGGAATGTGAAAATAATTATCTTCAGGAGATATGCTCACAGTCCTGGATTAAAAAAAAAAAAAAATCTGTAGTCCAGACCTGGTTCCTGAACTGTTGAATAATGAGATACAGCTTCAATTCAGGTTTAAAAATGTCTGCCTTTGGCTTTGATGTGTTGAAACTTCTGTTCATTATTTGATAATCTTCCTTTCTCAACTGATGTCATCCTTCTTGAAGTGGATTACGTGTGTAAATAATTCATATTCGCAGAGATTTTAAAATTAATTAACTGACTTTTATCATTGGTCTTGGGAGGAAAAGCAGCCTGTCATTCTCCCTGTCTGTTGGGTGGGCTAGGAGACATAGAGGATTATCAGGCACGGAATTAGACTCTGGTCCAGCACACTTCGTTCGTACTTCTTGCCATTGCAAGCCTCCTCTCCCCACCTTTGCACACATTCCTCCACTCCTCAAGTGGTCCTTTCAGATTCACGTTTTCCTCTAGGACCCATAGGGATGTTTCTAAAAGTTGGTACATTTCTATTCTCAGAGCCTGCTTTCTTCATGTTTAGTCTCTGCCATCCCATTTTGATCATTGAGTGGCATCTGCCCTTGACTCTTCTCCATCCGTGCTTGAGTTAGATTTCCTGAGGACATGAGGATTTGTGCGCAAATAAGACAAGAAAAATATCGTGGTGGTCACTTAAAAATTTGGTAGTTGGAAGAATACATGTACTCCTAGGCAATATTTTCTTCAAGAATACTGACCTTTCTTTTATAATAATGGTGAAAAAATCATAACTTAATACAAATTGTTTCTATCACAGATAGCAGAGAAACTCAGCAAAGACATATATTACATTTATTGTATATACCATTTTAAAAGTTTAAGTCTTGGTTCAGATGGTGCTTTTGTCTCGGTTATAGATATTTTTCCTTCACAGAAAAATTGTGACTAAATAATTACTTCATGGGAGAGAAAGTTTAAGACTCAAATATGTTACCCTGAGGTATCTATTTATTAAAGTTGTATGATAATACATTGGCTGAAATTTATTGTACATTAGAATTGCCCTCTTTTAAATTTTAATGTGGAGAGAATTGGAATTTTGCTGATTTATAAAGGCAACTTAATTTTAGCCAAAGATTGAATAAGAAAGTGCTTAATAAACAGACATTCTGCCAAAATTAGTTGTCAGTTGGTTATAAATGATTGTTTTTTAAAGACCTCTAGATGTCTTTGGTATAAATCACCATTTTTTTAAACACATAGTGTAAGAGTAAAATTAATCCTTATGAGTTTGAACAGCTGTACTAATTAAAGTTTTGAAGGACCATTTTGCCCTGGAAAAGAGAGCTTTTATTTCTTTTATAATTTTGCATTAGCGTGAAATATGTATTGCATGTTACTCTGTGTCATTCCCACTAGGAGGCAACAGAGACTATTACATAAGGAAGAGCAAGTCTTGAAAATTCTTTTGCAGATCTTCCTTCAAACAGGTTCTGTTTTTTGTTTTTTAAAGAGCAGTTTCTGAAATTCTCTGCCACTAAAATAGATCACTGGGGACAGTATTTATTGAACTTTCCTTAGTCTATTCCATTATTGTAGGCATAATATCCTGGGCTTTACTAGTTCTGATTTTAACTTGATATGAGTATATTCTAGAGTATTATGTTTGATTCATAATTATTTTATTTACATATTATAAACTAACTTTTAAGTAAATTATAAAGTCCCTAAGTATACTGTTATTCTTTGAGGTTATTTAATTAGCAGAGGAGCCAAAATTTATAATCTGTTCTCTTCTTGACAGATGTACTATGGGAACATTTTCATGAGCTTCCGGTGTTTTACTCCCTCACTTTATTCTGGCTAGAGTTTTGGGAGACACACGTCTTAGTACTCTAATATCCCAGAAGTGCCTCTGGGGACTGTCGCTGTGTCCCCATGGAATGGTGGTTCTCATATGCATCCTTCCAGCCTCCCCATCCCTGGCTCTGGGCCTCTTCCTGGTGCACTCTCAGATCCCTGGAGCATCTGCTAAGACGCGAAGGTCAGCTCTGCTCTGGCCAGCTCTTTCCTGCTCCCTTTCAAATGCGGCATACTCTCCCTACATCCTACAACCTTGCCATTTTCCCTGAAATCCTCACTGCTGAATGAGCAACCAGCTTTGGCTAAAGTCTTGAGTCTTTGAGAGTTACCATTTACCTCTAGAAGTGAAATAACACAGGGTCCAGTCTCCAGTGAGAGAAATTACAAAGCAATTTTTGTTTCATCGTGGCCTGTTGTACTTGGTGTCCTTTGGTTGCCAGTTTTAGCATCTCTTCCAAATTCACCACTTTGTCTGTGTCTCTAAATCGTAGTCTTAATCCAATTTCTTCACCTTAAAAATTCAATGGACTATACCCAGACCCCTCTCTTTCTCTTCCAGGTATCTCCCACCCTCTCTTTTTAGGAAAATTAGTTGAATTATTTCTCACTCCCTTATTTTCCTTATGACCCCTCAGTCTTCCTCAAGGCTGAGCCCTCATGCACAACTTCTTTCCTTTACTCCGTTCTTTCTTCTTTTTCCCCTTCACTTCTTGTAGATGCTATCAAACACATTTCTGTTCTAGGATAAGCTCTGAACAAATCGCCTTTATTTTGCCCACCTCGCTTGCTCACATGAGTCCCGTTGCTGGTTTTTCTATTGCCCCTCCCCAGCATCTTTTTCATTGTGCTGACAGCTAATCGTGCCCTGCTTCTCTAGGGTGTCCCACATGGACCACCTCGAGCTGCTGGTCTATGGTGCCTTGCTTCCCTTCCCGCTTCCCTCAGTGTCCGAAATCTACAAGGTCAGCAATGAGTCTTGTTAGCTTTGCAGCTGTTGTTGGCTTGTATTTTTCAGTTTGCGCTCCTCAGTATTGACTGTTCTAATGGGTCTCTTTTATTTTGAATTTATGTTCATGTTCTCTATTTTAGCATGAGTATAGAAAGCTTTTTGAGGAAAACAAAGGAATGTATCATTTTGATGCGGATGCTGCTGAACACCTGCACCATAAAGGCAATGCCATGCTCCAGAGCCAGGTGTGTGCCCCTACCCCCCCCATCTGGACCCTTCACCCACTCACTGCCACACACCTCCCCCAAGAAGGGGGAGCAGAGCATACCTCCTGAGGAAGTGAGCATCGCTCCGGAAAATCTCAGACGCTGCTCTCTTTCTGTGACTGGGGTGGGAGAGCAGGAACCATGTTTCCGTGTAAAAGCATTTCATAAAATAAGTTACTTCACACAATTTTAAACTTACAGTATATCAGTTAATTAAACCGTGATCAAATCTCATGATAATTTCAGTTTTCATAGTGTACTAATTTGTCATCGTGAGCTGCAAAATTAATTTTCCAGGTGCCAAGTTTATTAGAATTTCTCGGATCAGTTAGAAGTGTTATTAAAAATTATCTTACATAAATGTTTCTTTCAAGTATAAAATTCTGTGTATTCCCTGAAAGAAATTAAAAAAAAAAAACCTTCCCTGTGAACTTTTTAAGGGTGTTATCTATACATTTTTTTATTCTGAGTTTCAGTAGTTGCAAAAGATGTCATTCCAGCATCTACTAAAATATAATTTTACATCACTCCATTAAATGTATCCTGTGGAACATAAACTCCTTAATGATTTGATACCCATCCTCATTTACAAAATAAACAATTGGCTCTCCTTTAAGGCTTGGAAACCTACATTTTTTTTCTTTTTGTATTCTACTTTTATTTAATTTTTCCCACAAAGTTTTATCCTCGCATATGTTATTATATATCCTATCATGTTACTGCACTTCAAACACTTTCATTGATCACTCTATCATACTTCTCTAAAACAAAAATAGGCCTACAAATAGGAATTTAAAAACCTGTTACATTTTCTGCTACCACAAAGTTCTAAGTATTGAACAACTACTTTTGGATTTAATCATCATTAAAAGTGCTATTATTATATAAGTTAAGAAACAATTTCAAAAAATTATTTATACATAAGAATTTTATTTTATTATTATTTTTAAAAGATTTTATTTATTTGACAGAGAGATAGCACAAGTAGGCAGAGTAGCTGGCAGAGAGAGGGGGGAAGCAGGCTTTCCACTGGGCCCGGAACCTGATGTGGGTGCTCGGTCCTAGGACCCTGAGATCGTGACCTGAGTTGAAGGCAGACATTTAAATCGCCTGAGCCACCCAGGTGCCCCACAAATAAGAATTGTAATGAAGATGCATTTCTGAATGAAATGAATCATGACCAAAACTTTTTTGTGAATGTAATTCTAAAAGGTATATATTGCTAAGAAAAAGCTGATCACTCTGACACCTTACATATAATTCTAGTTTCTGTTATCAGGAATTAGAAAATGTAGATCATTTTATAAACTAAAATAAGAAAGAGGTTGGTTGTAACTGAAATAAATAATTCATGATATGATATTATTAAATAATGCAGGGCAAAACTGAAAGCAATTATATAAAATCTGTGTGGGTGTTACTCAGTGTCTGTGGAAGAAGTCAACAGTCCCAGAGAACACTGTCTTCCCTTTGAAAGAAAGAGAATCACACTTGTGTTTTCCTCCTTGTTCATCATTTTCTGATAGACATTCGAAGCCATCACAGGGATCTGTCTCTATGTATATATGTGTGTACCATTAGTGTATATATATTAACCCCATATAGATGAGATATATCTATATATCTGAGCTATTTAAATAATTCATCCAAGTCCTAGAACTGCATTTAGTAGTTCTAAATTATTTTTAGCCCATAAGTATTTTTGTATATTACCTGTTTACTTCTTTTGTATGTCATTTACCACAGGGAACCCAGTGACCAACCCAAATGGCCAGAATAATACAATGTTAGAAACTAGGATGATTAATTTTGGATGTATTTATTTTATTTTGCTCTATTGGTACAAGGGCTTGTGAGATTTATGTGCTTTTTATACTTTTTTTCAATGAAGGTTAAATACAAAGAAGAGTATGAGAAAAATAAGGGGAAATCAATGCTTGAATTTGTTGAGACACCCTCATATCAAGCTTCAAAGGAGGCTCAGAAGATGCGGAGTGAGGTGAGTCCCTTTGATTTGTTATGAACTTTTTTTAAAAGTTTATTTATTTTTAAGTAATTTTGTGTCTAACATGGGGCTCTAACTCAGGACCTTGAGATCAAGAGTCACATGCTCTCCCAACTGAGCCAGCCAGCTGCCCCTGTTATAACTATCTGATGCATATTTGGTATTTTAGCATTTGAAAGGAACTAGCAAAGTGATTCAGAATGCTGAATGGGTCTAGAGGAAAGCACACTGCCCAGGAAGGCTAGGGAATCCCCGTTCTAGATCTGGCATCTTGTCTGGGTCTTTGAGATTCTGTGACCCTAAGTTTTTCTCATTTGGCAAATACAGTATCAGGCCAGGTGAGCTCTTAACTGCTCTTTCACATTCTATGATTACAAAGTTGGCACTTTCAGGTTGTGTCCATGTAAAATTATGATGAGCTGAAAGAAAATGAAGAGCCTGTTGCTTTATTTACCTTTTATTTTTCAGTGACAATAGAACTAACATGTATTCAATGCTTGCTCTGTGCTAAGCAGTTTGCTAAAAGATTTATGTATGTCTCATTTAATCCCCTCAGGGTAGTGACGCTAGGTGGGCATATCCCTCAATTCATAATCATCCACTGAAATTAACTGTCTTATCTGAAATCACATATCCAGTAAATGCCAATGATTTAGGACCTGGTCAAATCATGAGTGATTCTCTTTTTTTCTGTTCCCTTACGTGGTTGATTCTCCCCACAGTCCTCCCACCCCCCAAACAGTGACAATGGAAGTTTTAAAATATCAAGAGAAGAGAGCAGTTAAGAATTTTTTGTACATATGCATTCCATATTCTACTTAAAATGATGCTGAATCATATCCAGATATTGCCCAAATGCTTTCGCTCCATCCTACTGAGATTTCTTCTGTTCTTTCCTTCCGTACATTTTTTGGGACCAGACACCAGACAGAGAAGGTTTTCTCTGCCAACATCCAGATTCTGTGGGTACACCAACTTATTACCTCAAAGAGACAGAAATAGTGGAGAGCAGATCAGCCGATTACGGCCCCACGCCAGGTGTGCTCTGTGGGCACAATCTTGTCTATTCTCCAATAACAATACCAAAACAGGGAGAAATGAGAACTTCCGGACAATGAAACTCTCATAGGAATTTTGAAAACAACATATGTGCTATTTGTTGTTAGTTATGCTGCTGTGTGTTGTAATTCCTCTTTCCAGGGAAAGGGCAGTCAGACATTACAGGGGCTTGTTGAATTGTCCAAGTTGTTTAATTGTGTCTTCAGGCAAGAAAAGAGAAAATTGCTTGTTTTGTCATATCTCATAGCTTCTTAAGCTATTGAGAGAAGTTCTACTGAGAAATAAGTGACTATTTTGATGAAATTAGCTGTTTGTTTTAACTGAATTGGCAGAGAGGTAAATTTGGTCATAGTTCAGAAGCCTGACAACTTACATTTAATGGGATAACTTTTATGGGACTATCATTGTCTTAGTTTTGGCTGCTATTAACCAAGTGCCACAGACTGGGGGGCTTAAACAACAGAAATTTATTTCTTACAGTTCTGGAGGCTGGAGGTCCGAGATCAGGGTGCCAGCAGGTCAGGATTCTGGAGAGACCCTCTTTGGGGTGCCTTCTCGCAGCCTTCTCACTGTGTCCTCATGTGGAGGAAAGCAGAGAGGAAGCAAACTCTCTTGGGATGAGTTTGAGGTCACTAACCCCATTGCGAGGGCTCCACCCCCATGACCTCCTCTGTCCTAATCACTTTCCAAAGGCCGCACCTCCAAATGCATGCATCACTTTGAGGGTGGGGTGGGGTTTCCGCATATAAATTTTGGGGCAACACAGACATTCAGTCCATATCACCTTTTCTGCATTTCGAGAATAGTATGCAAGGTACTGTGCCGTTACCAGGTGGAGAGCTGGAAGGCAGCCTCTGGGTTGAGCCTCCTGGTTGAGCCTCCAGAACTTGTAGCCTGTGTCAGTTGTCACCTGGCTCTCACTGATAGTCATGCGTCATCCTTCAAGGAGAAGACCAGCACTTTCAGGCTGAGCTTTCTGTCTTCTTCCTCCCAGCCCCAGGCTATTATTATTCAGGTGTTTGGGCTACATTTTCTCATCTTACTCATAGAGGGACATGTTTCCCTGTTTTCCTCTCTTTGATCCTCTTTGTACTTTCTCTTTGGAAGACTGTCTTTTCCCTCCCCTTCTTTCTCCCCATGGCTCCAGTACTCAGACTGTCTGTGGTAAGTCTCAGGGAAGCATGTCGGGAATGCACATCCCCACGCCGCTGCCTCAGGAGGTCCTCCGTGAGTCTGCCAGTGGAGACTGGGAATCGTACTTAACAATATCCCAGGAGCTTCTGATGTCGGTGGTTCTGCGATCATACTTTGAGAAACACAGACTCACTGCAGAAAACGACTGGTCCCCTAACTTAAAGTCATAAAAACCAGATGGACTTAAACAAACCGATAAGCCCAAAATATATAGATAATCTGCTTCTCAGAGATGCAGTGGGCAAAGTAGACCAAGTTGTTTTTCTTTATATGAAATGCTTAGTTGATTTTTTTTTTCTACTGGGGATAGACCCTCGAAAGAGGAAGATTCCCCAAGACCAAATTTCACTATACAGATGACAGGGCCTTCAAAAATACCTTCTGAAAAAGTGCTGTTGTTTCTACATAGGCATGTTTCCCTGTGCTGATCTTGGAAATCTGAGAACCAGCGCTTTGCCTTTACCATGGCTATGCCTACATGGTACAAAATGAAAATAAAATGTCGACAACTGAAAAAGAAAAAAAACAAAAAAACAACCCACCCCAAATCAGTCAAATGAACTAATCAGTTCCTTCTGGTTGGCTGTTTTGACATCAGGTGCCAACAGCTTTAAGGTTTAACTGTAGTAATGTATTTATTATATGCTTTGGAATTCGCTTACATCAGGGACTGTGTGGGCCTTTTGTTAATATTGGCTTTCAATTTTTGCTATTCTGATTTCTGGCATTGTCGCTAAGGGGAAATTATCCTTTGCTGGGGCTGACACATGTTTTCCCTTTAATTATAGCCTCTGGCTATTAGATTTTTAGGCTCAGCAGTTGTGTTTCTGCTTAGCAGGGCTTGAGGAGAGCGAAACCTTTCAATAGAAAATATTTTTGGCCCAAATTTATACTACAAAGGCTAGAAACATAAAATATCTAAAAATCATAGTTAGACCGAGGTTGATGTGAAAGATGCCTTTAGATAGAGTACCAATGAAATGGACACAGAGAGAAACGTCTGGGTTACAGATGCTTTTTATTCCTATGAGGTAAGCTTGACGATGAGTTTCTTGAGCCTTCTCTGGGTAAAGCTAAGTGTGTATGATGTCGAGGGTGGTCACTCATGTTTATGTTAGGCCTATAATTACGCTTCTCTCACATTTCTTCGAATGCCAGATAGAGGTTTAATCAGTATGTTTTCTAGAAGAAATCTCCAAATCTGGCTTTGAAAATTTCTTTGTCTTCTGTTTCATAAAAAGTATACTAAAGTTTTGTTTGTTTGTTTGCTTTCCAGTCAATCAACCTTCCTTAATGACTTATTTCAGCAAAATAAATTTTTCACCGGAGAAGGGCTTTTTGAAGTGGATGATCTGAAATAAATAAATATATACAAATTTTTATTTTTCCTTTTTTAAAAAGACATTTTTGGCCTGGAAATACCCTAGCTTCAGCCTTATAACTGTATAATTTCAGTTAGTTCCACATAAAGAAGAGGGCAGTTTCTCATTGTTCTTTGGAAATATCTATAGTTCCTTTAACTCAGAATGTTCTCAGTGCAACTTATTAATCACTTTGTTAAATTTTAGTGTTTCTAGGACATCTCTTGTGACCTTTTTATTTTCTTTCCTGTGGCTTTCCACAGATCATTTGTTAAATAGTTGTATGTGACATAAATGTAGGAGAGGCAACAACCACCTCTCTGATCGTCCCTCACGGTTTGGGAGAATTTCTTTACACAATTACCTAACTCTGTAATAGGTAGATTATGAACCCAGAAACGGCCTTTTGTTTTGCATTAATAACAATCTCTTGTAGAATTTATTTGTATTATCTTTGTGATGCAACTTGAATAAAACACTTAGCTGGTAAAATATAGGCTTTTGTGTGTCCGATAAATATTTCACATGGATGGAGATCTTTGTTATTTAGAGAGACTGTTTTTACAGTCCTAAGGTGAGAGTTACCATTGGCTTTCAAATCCATGGGTCAAATGCTGGAATTGAAGGATTCTTAGACAGAGGGTGGCCGAGAACGTCGAAGGGGCAGGTAGGGGTACGGATGTCCGTCCTCCACAGTCACTATCTGCCCCTTTCACTTCCTAGCTGAGAACTCTTTCCTAGAGAACAATTTATCAGGTTGAAGACAAGACTCCTCACAGTATAACTTGATTTATAGATGGTAGAGAAACAGTTTCAGGGCCAAAATCATTAAAGGAAGACATGGAAGCTGCAGCATGAGATGGTCTTTGCCATGTTCACAAAAGGCTTCCAGTGAAAGGGGTGATGAGAACCTCAACATTTATGCTCCTATGCTTTGAATGGCTTTCCACACAGCCAGACTTTCTTCCAGTGGATGGATCCACTCCGTTAAGAATGAACCAGTCCGGGGGTTCTCAAATAACCAACTTTATTGGCTTTCCTCTCCAGTTGGGCTGGAGTGAAATAGTGACAGTTTGATAAGGTGTTAAGCAGCATCACTCTGAGTGCTTTCCCAGAGGCAGCTGGTCCTTGATGATTCTGCTTTTGTTTGGTAAGAATTCTAAAATTTATAGTAAATTTGGAGTGATTTCCTTGTGGCTATGAAGACTCCGAGGTGGTAGGATTATATAAGGCAAACCTCAGTTTTGTTCTGGGAACTCTTGTTCTGATACCTTTCCAACAGTGATGAGTATTTTCTAAATTTCAAATTATGTGGTCTTATTTAACAGAAAGTTTACAGAGAGGACTTTGAGAAGGAGATTAAAGGAAGGTCTTCACTGGATTTAGACAAGACTCCAGAATTTTTACATGTAAAGTACATCACCAACCTTCTGAAAGAGGTAGGGTCTTGCGATTTACTATTAAATATTGTGAAAGAAAACTAAAGAAATAACTCAGGAAATATTTACTCCAAAATTCCCTACTAACTGAGATGTTAATCTATTCCTCTTTCTCTCACTTTGACCTTTATGACCAGAGTTTTTCATTTTCATTAAAGACAGGAAAGTGTGTGTTCACATTTCCACTTAAAGTTGGGGGAAGAAATCACCTAGAGTTTCTGGAAAAACTTGAAAAATATTCTGATTCTGTGTTTGTACCTCAGAAGCTCTGTAAACAGTTTTATAGCAGTTTTTTTTTTTTAATTCTGACTATGTGTGAGGCAAACTTCATTCTTTCAAATTTAGTTATTCAAAAATGCATTTTAGAACCAGCGTTTTCTGCAACTCTCCTGTAGCATTCTCAGGACATCTGATCATCAGAAATGAGAGGCTCAGATGTGAAGGTCTGGGTAAATGACACATTGTTTCTGAGTGGATTGTGTTCTAAGGGGGGGAATATCTAGCATAGAGAACATAGGAACTCACATTGATTTTTCATTTTACTCTCAGCAGGAATCTGCTCCCCTCCCCCCCAACTTGGTGCATTTTGGCTCACGATGTATTACATTTGCTGAACATTAAGTTCGTCAAACCAGCAATTAAAAATGTCATGCTCATAGTCCATCCCTTTCAAAGTTTCTTTTTCTTTTTCTTTTCTTTTCTTTTTTTTTTTTTTGTGGCTGAAAAGTAACTCAGAGCTCTTCTAACTCCGTGTTTAAATAGAGTCTCTTTACATATAAGGGGGAGTATTATAGAACTTTTCACCCTGAATTTTGACTGAAGAAACTACTCCTGAAAGAAATATCTTAAATCAGTGAAATAAATTCGAGTACGATTCTGTACATGAACTTCCTTAATAACTGGATGCCAGCTGGCCTTTACCGTTTAACTGCTTTTAGAAATTTAATGTGCCTCGCTGTTGTAAAGTATGTTGGGCTGAAATGGGCATATGGTTTATGCAGGAGTGCTTTTGCTGTCCTACATTTTCTCACTCCTAGTTCCTCTCGAACTTTTTGAAGTCGAAGTCTAATCAAATGGCCACTTCCTGCTATTGTCTTTCCTTTACAAAATATGCACTGTTTATATGAAACTTTGAAAGGAGACTCCCTTTTATCATTTACATGCAAATGACAATGTTAGATCCAGTTTAAGGTCCATAAATGACATTGACTGTCTCTTTTATTTCTCTTTTTGAAAGAATCTTATTTTAGGTGTATTGATTCAGAATGTTTGCATCAGGATAGTAAAAGACCCATAAGACTATGATTAAAAATCTTTTAATTCAATTTTAAAGAAGTCTAATTTTAAAAAAGGAACTCTCAGTGACTTAATGAAATTAAAACTTTTCTTTCTAAGTATATGCATTTAGCTTTAAATTGTCTTTGCATTTTTTACTTTATTATGGTTTTTACATTTATATTGCCATTTAGAATATTCAGAGTATTGTTTTATACTTCAATTTCATTTGATTCCCCCAATTGCCCTTTAACATCAGTATAATAAGTATTTTTATTTTCATTTTGCCTGTGCGTGTGGAAATCAAGGCTCAGTTACTTAAAGTCTTTTGAAGGTCACATGTCCAAACAAGTGAAAGAATTCCTACTTTCATCCAGGTCATTTGACTCCAGAGCTCTTTCCAAAATTACATTCAGGTCATTACAATGTCTTCTAGACTATTAGTTAAGCAGAGGACTAGCTAATTTAATTATAGTGGACAAAGAGAAAATAACATCAAATGAACCCTAGAATTTACTGGAATATAACTTCTTATTATTATAGGAAGCCTCATCTTTTATCTGGCAAGTTAGTCATAAGTGCAACTCAGTTGAATTGGATCAAGATATATATTGTTTTCATAATACATTTACTAGGGAAAAAAAAGAGATTCATTAGCAGAACAAAAACCTCAAGTTATATATGAGTATTAGTAGAGACATTTGGATCCACTTAAAATATAATATTAAAATGGATGACATTCAAACTATGTATTATCAATCTGTAGGAAATTATTTGGTTTTATGAATCTGAATAAAGTTGATTTTTTTTTTAAACTTTGGCTACATCAATCCTTTTGATTTTGTAATTTTCAATTCTTTTTCAACTATGGTCTTTTGGTGATTCATATTTTATAGACAGCTTTCAAAGAAATATTTCAAATAATTAATAAGAAGCATTCATTCCTAAGATCTTCCTCACCACTTAAAAGGAAGACATCTTTTTAAAATATGGCACCAATATGGTACCAAATATACTGGAAGTCAGGATGAAAGGGAAAATCCTGATAAAATTGGAAGCCACTCTAAACATGACTAAAAGAGAAAATAGAGTCTCTGTAGAAAATTAGGAGCATAAATACTCAAGAGTGTGATTCATAACTTCCTAGAAATATTTTCTCCTTTCTTTGGTCTCTAGAAAGCATGTGACATGGTATATCAATTAAAGGGTATCCCAGAAATTTTTGAACTGTCATGTTCTTGTCTCATAGAAGGAATATAAGAAAGATCTGGAAAATGAAATAAGAGGCAAAGGAATGGAACTTAACCCAGACGTTCTTGATATTCAAAGAGCAAAACGTGCATCTGAAATGGCTAGTGAGGTAAGTTTATTTATTTAGCAACTGAAAATGTATGAATTTTCAGCTGACTTCCTCGTCTGTAAACCTTTTTCAAAGATTTATATACATTCTGTAACTTTTATGTGCCAGGTGATGATAAGTAGCTATTCCTAGTAGTCATTTTCCAGTCAAGGAATTAAAAAAAAAAAAAGATATTCATCATCTCCTTTCCATGTGGTATGAGAAAGATGACAATTTCCCCCTTGCAGAGAAAAAATGTGTTTAATAAACTAGAATAATTATAGGAGATTCAATTTGAATTTTTAAGGAAGTAAAAGGCAGAGGATTGGGAATTTGTGTTATTAAGCTCTGTCAGTTACTATGGTGCAGGTCACATGCTCTCCCGCTCTCTACCCAACGGAGCCCCCACACCATGCGTCCACTGCTCAGTGAGCCCACATAAAGCACTTTATGAAGTGAGAATGACTTTGCTCACTGTACATGGAATTTGTGGGGAGGAATGAAATGCCCCTGAAGAGCTCGGTCCTTTCATCCTTGTGTTATGTCATTACTTTGGTATCAGATAATGGCCCTGCACTTTGAGGAGAATCTAGCTGAACTGAGCAATGAGAAATGGAAAGTTGTGTCCTCATAGGTTCATAAACTGAGGTAATCATGATGATGGTGACCCTATAGTCAGGCTGCAGATGACAGGAACCCAACTCAAACTGGGTGAAGCAACAAAGGGAATGTTTTGCCTTATGAATAGAGAAGTCAGAAGTCAAGTTTCCTTCAGGTTGGAATCCAAAAGATGTCTCTCTTCCTTCCTCTCTCAGTTCTGTTGTCTTTATTGCTTCAACCTTGGGAAGCTATCTCCAAGTGATGGCTTATCCTAACAGTAGGATAGCTCCTATCCGTTCCAGTAATCCCAATAGGAAGTGAGCATCTGTTTTTTTCTTTCTTTCTTTCTTTTTTTTTTTTTTAAAGATATTATTTATCATCTGACAGAGACACCGAGAGAGGGAACACAAACAGGGGGAGCGCGAGAGGGAGAAACAGGCTCACTGCTGAGCAGGGAGCCCGATGCAGGGCTCTATCCCAGGACTCTGAGATCATGACCTGAGCCAAAGGGAGACGCTTAACTGAATGAGCCACCCAGGTGCCCCTGAACATCTGTTTCTTATATTTATAGCTAAGGTCCTAGGATTGAGTCTCACTGGATCAGATTCTATCCTGTGTCTACTTCCGCCCTAATCATTGTATCTGGGGCAGAGGAGTGTAATGGTATGGTTCTCGTGATCCCTCCTCAGTTGTCTAATTGCATTCTAAGTGTAAAAGATTCAAGGGTTGCCTGGATGGCTTGGTCGGTTAAGTGTCTACCTTCAGCTCGGGTCAAAATCCTGGAGTCCTAGGATCAAGCCCCATTTTGAGCTCCCTGTTCAGCAGGGAGCCTGCTTCTCCCTCTCCTTGACCCCTGCTCACTCTCTCTCTCTTTCTCTCTCTCAATCTCAAATAAATAAAAAATCTTTAAAAAAAGATTCAAAATTGTTATGTGTTTAAAAAAATTTATAATCATCTTTGGCCATATCCGTGTTCTTTAAATGAATTAAAGAATTAAAAACCACTCTGATGTCTTTGGCTAATATTGTCATCATATATCACTAAGTTAGCAATTCTGTACAGATTCTTCTTGTATGGTGACATGTAAAGTCCACCTTCAGAGGTAGATCTTGTAATCACTTGTTGGTAAGACCTGGAAAAATCATTTTAGACTCTCAATGGCAGAGTCCATCTAGATACAGCTGCATGGCACGATGGTGGCAGGAACAGTAGTAAGTCAGCCTTAGCCCTACGATTATAGGAGTAAAAGACCAAAAGAAGCTATCAGTTATTGAACACCCACTATGTGCTGAGCACTATGCTATATGCTATCTCATTGCTCCTTGGAAGGTTGGTACATGGAGGAATTATTGTCCCCATTTTGCAGATGAGTAAACCGGAAATGTTAAACATTCCCAGTGTCACACAGCAATTGAGGGCTCTGGCCTCCAAATCAACCTTCTTTCTATGACATCAACTCATCGAAACCTGCCTTCCTATCTCCCAGCCCCTAACACAGTCGTCAGTGAAGCTTCTCAGCATGTATAGTAAAAGCCTCAAATCTTCACATACCCTTTTCCAGTGAGAATGGTGATACCCTTCTAAGCAGTCCAGAAAACTTAGTTCTAGGTGATCATTTCATAGTACAAAATAAAGTGTGTTTTCTTCTTCTTCCTTTTTTTAATATGTTCAGCAATTTTTTGGTATCATTGATTACAGATACAGGTTTGTCCTTAGAGTGTCTGAATATTATAAAATACTGGTGTTTTTTGTTTTTTACAGAAAGAATATAAGAAAGACCTGGAGTCAAAAATTAAAGGGAAGGGAATGCAAGTTGGCACTGACACCCTTCAAATACAACATGCCAAAAAAGCTGCAGAGATAGCTAGTGAGGTTAGTCGAGTAAATGGTATAGATGTCTTAGAACCTGTATTTCAGGGGGATCCTGGGTGGGTTAGTCGTTAAGCCTCTGCCTTTGGCTCAGCTCATGATCCCAGAGTCCTGGAGTCAAGTCCGGTATCAGGCTCCCTGCTCAGCAGGAAGGCTGCTTCTCCCTCTCACGCTCCCCCTGCTTGTGTTTCCTCTTTCTCTGTCTCGCTCTCTGTCAAATAAATAAATAAAATCCTAAAAAAAAAAAACAAAAAAAACCCTGTATTCGGAACTTCACAAATCATATTAACCTCCCGATTAGTACATGGAGTTCCCCAAAGCTTTGTGATTGGTTTAAAAAGTTTGGAATGGAGACCATTCCAAATCAGCATGTTTGTTTGAAAATGTTTAGTTCCTGCTTTACTCATTTCCTTTAAATATATCAAAGAAAACTAGGGGGAAGGCATTTTAATAGAACACACACACACACACACACACACACACACAAACACACACCCCCTCTTTCTTATCTTATCCTTGGAATACAACAAATTTCACATTCATCTGGGCTACAATAAATGTTTTCATGCTATGTTTTCTTTAAGGATAAGTCATGTGCCTCTCCATACATCTGTGTTTCCCACTTTCTGAACAGACCTTGAAAATCACATATTGAGACTCTAGCCTGACAGTGATAACCATTTCTGTATGATTTGGTTGCACGTTCTGAAAATACCCCATTGACCTCATCACCATGCCTACCGGGTTAGCATTTCGGATTGAAGTGTTCTATATCCTGAATGACTGTGTTCTTTCATCTAATATTTTCCTCTTCATGCAATGCATGTAACAGCAGGATATTAATTTAGAAGTTTTGGCTTAGAGGCTATGATATGATAGAGAACAGATAACAACATTGTAGGAGCCAGACCATAAATGTGTAGTTTTTTGGAGGCAATAACCCAGAACCAGTTCCATACCTCTTGAACTCCTCCAGTAATTTCGAGAATGTACGAGTGTCACTGGAGTAGAGGGTATTTGGGAAGAGCTGATTTTGTGAGAAACATTTGTGAAGAGAATGTTGGAGAGAAGGCTAAGGAGTGCTGCCCACTTACCTCAAGGCTGGTTGGGGGTGTTTCAGTGGGGCTACTCTGAGAGCTGTAATGTAATGTGTTTGCAGTTAGGAAGAGCCGGCTCAGGGCTGACTCCCTGCAGGAAATCTGGAGGGCGAGAGGGAGCTGATTAAATGCCCTCCAGTCTGCTGCTGCGTTGGGATCTGCTTATATCCCCAGGGTTAGGGACTGGCCAGGGGAATGGAAGGGTCATAACTGGTTTGGAAAAAGGATCTGGAGATGATAGGAGACTTGAGCAATAGAGATTTTATTTAGAAATGACAGAGTTGGAGGGGATGCATGCTGAACAGGTCCTTGAAAACCTCCTTTGACTTGACCCCTCCTTCCATTCTCCTGAAATATAGCCATTGTTGCAGATTTGTTGTAGAACCTTCTGGATCTGTTTTTATGTGTATATAGATAAACATAACACTTATGTACATATAGATTTAAAAAGTCCTTAAATACCATGTATTTTTTCCTGTGCTTGGTTTTCTCACTTAATATTATAGACCTTTTTCCATATTACTTCATATAGTTCTACCTCATTCTTATAGCAGAATTGTTTCATAACTTGGATGTGAATATGTAACCATTTACCTTTTGATGTCTTATAGGCATTACCACATGTAAATGACATGTAAAATGTAGTAACAGGATATCAATATTAACACAATAAAACCAGAAGGCTTAATTTTCCCCCAGATCTGCTTTCCTTTTCCACTCCCTTCTTAGCAAATGGCATCAGTGAGATCTCTGAAGTCTTCTCATCAGCAACTTTTATTGACTCTGCTCCCAAAATAATTTCTAAATCCATCTACTTCTCTCCACCCTAGTCCAAGCTACCATGTTTGTCACCTGGATCCCTGCAATGGCTTCTAACTAGAATTCTGCTTCCATTATTGTCCTCTTCATAGCCATTCTTTACCCAACAGCCAGAACCATCTTTGAAGAATTACGTTAAATTATGTTAGTCTCACTACTTAGAACTCTCCAATGGTTTCCAGTTATGTCCAGTATAAATGCCCCACTCCTTGCTCCTGCATTCAGAGCCCCTCTTCTGCCATTCTCATCTTATTCCCCTCTTCCCTTGCCCATTATGATTGTCCTCCAGCCTCACAGATATGCAGTCTCTGCACAGTGCTGTTTTCTTCTGGAAAGTTCTTTCCCTGGTCTTTGCCCAGTTGTTTTTTCTAGTTATTCATTCCTTAGATGTAATGGTACTTTTTAATGGTGGCCTCCTTGGGATTCCAAGTAACTAGCTACTTGAAACTATCAAACTATTAATTATAAATCTCTGAAATGCTTCTTATTATTAGGAGGGGGCAACATCCAGTGTTAGTTCAAGGTACTGGCTTGGAGTAGGGGGTTGGGAGTGAGGAATTCGAGGCTGGAGAACAGGCTTCAAAATCAGCCTGAGAGTTGAAGCCAAAAGAAGGCAACCTTTCCATGGAGAGAACAATGTGGAAAGACTACAAATTATGTATTTCACACTTTTATCTAAGCACAGGCCTCTAAGACACATTCCTTTCATGAAACGTTGGAATTTCATGTCTTTCCTTAAACGGTATAGATTTGTTTTATTCAACGATATGCTGCTTTCAATTTCTGTGTGTAGCTTAGGAATGTCTGCTAGTTCTTGAGAAGCTAGGGGAAAGAAAGGCCTAGGGGAGTCAGCTATCCTATGGTTATATGTACATCATGATTATAGCCGTGCTGTTATCTTTGCCATCCAAAGGTCTCATTTGTATGTAATCCTAGCCATGTCCCATTTTGCCCAGTTGCTAGGTTCTTGCATCCATTTCAGCCAAACTTTGGGACTTTCAAGGCTTAACTTTTCAAGGAAATTAATGTGGTATATATTGTTACATGAATCACTTCCAATAGTTAAACCCTCCAGAACCTATGGAATTGACCATATGACTTTCTTTAGCCAATAGGAGATTAGCAAACATGACTCAGGCAGAGCCTATAAAACTCTTGTGCATTGGGGCTTGTCTTCTTGGAATATAGGTGCCATCATGTTTTTTTTTAAGCCTTCAGAGTTTTAGGGTATTTTATTATACATTAGTATTAAATGATGTAACTAGGGTCCTATGTAATCTATTGATGTGCTTGAGGATGCTTTTAAATTTGAAAATTCATATTGCAAAATTAAATGACATACTTCTACCCTGGGACCTTGGTGGCTATCTATGATTAGTGCCTCACTTTCTATATACATTGTCCTTCAAATGAGGTGCTTTGTTTGGGGGCCTTAAAGAGGCTTACTAGAAATTTTTTTTTTTAAATACACATAGTTATAATGGAATATTATGATTTTGAAGGTTAAATGCTATTATTTAAATTGTATTCAGAAAAGTGAAACTGAGACTCCAAGTCAGTGAAAATAAGCAGAGTTATGAGTAGAAGATAGGAAAAAATATAATATTTTTCTGAGATTGAGATCTTTGTTTATACCTTTTAAAATATAGGATATCACAAATAAGCAAGCCAACATTTACGCCATTGCAGGGAAACTACAAATCTAGATTATGTCACATCTAGGCTACGTCAACATAATCAGAAATAACTGTTTTAGAAGAAATGTAATTAGATACAGCAATTTTTTTTTCTTGTAATACAGTTTTTCATTAAAGAATCCATACACACTGAAAAGTATACAATTTAAGTCTACAGCCTGCTCGATTTTTTATAATCAGTTTTAAAATGTGATGAGTCTTAGAGACGTGTTGTGTCTGGGTAATTATGACTATTTTGTAAGTAACACATAATTTAATTCAGGCTGCTCAAAATAAGCAGATAATTTGTGGTTCTTAGAACTAGACAGTAGAGGAAGTCCTAGGCTGGGCTTGCTCTGGGGCTCAGACAATGTGATTGAGTTTGTCTCTATCTTCAGTTCTCAGGCAGGCTTTCTTTTGTTTGCAAAGGGTTCTTAGCAGCTCCTGGGGCTTCTTCTTTCTCCATCCATGTCTAGAAGAAGAGGGAAAGCTTCTTGATAGTTTGGGTGGAAGAAGAATCCTACTCATCCCTGGAGAATTTTGGAAGGGCCAGGGATGGAACTTCAAAAATCATATTGTGATTATACCCCATTCCCCATACCCCAAGGGATGGGGTATAATGGTAAATTTATGTGAGCCCAACAGGACCCCCTGACTTGGGCCAGCCTCACCCAAGCTGAATGGTCTAGTTTGGGGGAGCTGTGAGTTGCCCAGTGGCAAAGCAGGGAGCTAATGGGAGGTGGGGGAAAGAGCGGTTGGATTCCAAGGAAGCAACCAGCAATAATTATTCACTGCAGAGCAAAAAGTGACAATTTTGCAATGACATCCTACTGATACTCATCAGATGAGTTACATGTTAACCAATAACTGATCAATTTTATTATACTGAAATAGAAAAACTTCCTCTTTCGCTAACTGTGTTTCCTTTCTTAATTCAGGTTAGTAGGCAGGAGCCTTCTGATCCCTTGTGAATAAGTCACTCCAAGCCATGTTCCTCCCACAAATTTTAAAACTCTTCCTAGTTTTGTAGAAATGAGAGTCCAAAGCCATGATCTTGATGTTAAATGCCAGCACAGTTATTAACAGTTATTCACATTCTTGTGGAGCCCTCACTGCATGTTTTATTTTCTCCAGAAAGACTATAAGAGAGATCTGGAGACTGAAATAAGAGGGAAGGGCATGCAGGTGGGCCCAGACACTCCTGATATCCAGAGAGCCAAGAAAGCATCGGAAATGGCCAGCCAGGTGAGGAACCCACAAGATATAAAGTTTACAACAGACACGATGATCTGCGTATAGAAAAAGCATAAATGGCATTTTCGCATGTGTAGCCTTGAGATTCAAACACATATATATCAGCCTTGCTCTGGAAGGAGAAGCAAAGCTCTGAAGATTATTTTCTGTTCGTTTAGAAAGAATATAAGAAAGATCTGGAAAATGAAATTAAGGGGAAAGGAATGCAAGTGAGCATGGATATCCTGGACATACTACGAGCCAAGAGAGCATCAGAAATCTACAGCCAGGTTGGTGGAGGGAGTAAAGAGTCTCTGAATACCATTTTCTGATTTTCAGTCCTCATGTGCTTTGTGTGTCTCTAAGACTGGTATTTTTTGGAGGGCACTGTGTTCAAAGTCACTGCACTCTATTCTAGGAGCTATTGGTCAAACTTGATTAAACTCACTAATGAAAGGAAATTTGCTGTAAATTCAATTCAGTGGCTGTTATTGAGTGTCTGAGCTCCCCTGTTTGAGTCCAACAACACTGTGATCCTTTTTATTTTTAGTTTTTGACTCTAGTGCACGCTTGAATCCAGAGCTCACACTATAGAGAAAAGATTACAGATGAGTTTGTCTATTAACCATCTCATAGTAATAATGAATATTATCCCTAAATAGTCAGCTCCAATGAAGAATGAATAAAACTGTGCAAGGTGGAAGGTGAAATTGAACATTAACAAAAAATTAAGAGAAGAATGGTCTTGGTAAAATTTAATTTACCAAGTGTGACCTGTCACACATCCTCTCGAAAGACTTGTAGAAAAAAAGCTCTAGAAAAGCTGGATATGGATATAACCACAAAAGAATATGTCTCATGGAAGAAGTTATGGATAAAATCTGATCTGGGCAAAAAATTCATTAGGGAATATTGTCTTCGCTATAAAATTTACAAGGAAAAGAATGAATCCCAATGGAAAAAAAAAACAGTAAAGGGGAATGAAAAAATTAAAATGGTGATAGAAAATTGACAAAGGAATTGCATTTGATGAATGGGATTTATGATGAAGAGAATTTTCAACAAAATCTGACCAAATTTGTTAGAATTCTGATTAAAGCACAAGCAGAATCTGAACATCTAAAGGGCGTCTCCAGATGACAGAGTCAAATGTTAAATGAATTGTCTGCTTCTCGGCTCCTCAGATGACACAGCTGTGGGATGGTCCTGAAATGCATGGCCATCTGTCCTCAGTGTCTCCTGGTGCCACCTGAACTAGGAGAAATTGGCTCTAACTATATCAAGTGACTAAAATTATAAATAAATACATAAACCAAGTAAAGGGTCATAGGAGTCAGTGGAGAAAAGTTACTATTTCAAGAATGTCAATCTCATTCATTCATTCAGTAAATACTTTCTGAGCACCCACTTATGTGTAAAATTAGACATGGTTTTGCCCTTGGGGAACTAATCTCATAGTTTAATAATCAAATAATCACACAAATACAGTATTACCCACCATGATATATGCCACCATGATATATGCCACTCCCTCCAAAGGTAAGGGCTTCCCATGGGAAGCGATGCCTGAGTTGTCAGCATTCCTGCCTTAGCTTTACAGTGTTGCTTTGTTGCTTTGTTTGGGACAGAAGGATAAATCTAACTTCAAGGAATTTTCATTATTTTAGGATACAATGGAATACTTATGAGATTGTAACGATGCTGTGCTGAGTCTCAACACGAACAATAATTACCTTTCCTGACAAGCATGCGTATGCCATAATGGTTAACTTCACTGACTTTGGACCCAGAGTGCCTGGGTTGAATCCTGGCTCTGACACTTCTTAGCAAGTGTCTCAGTTTCCCCATCTGTAAGAGGGGATAGTAACACCATCTGCTTGGAGATTTGATTTAATGAGTTAATGTGTATTTTGAACCATACCTATGACTATATAAACGTGGGTACTCGTTGAAGGTATGGCCCAGATTGTACCAGAGCTTATAGTAATACATTTAATACACAGAAATTTGAGATTTTAATCTCAACTACAGAAATACTAGTGTCTTTCCATTATACAAATGTAACTTTTTCTGAAGTAGGAAACAAAGCACAAATCCAGAAGCGTGAAAAATAGCACATATAGAGAGCCATGTTACTTGTAGAAGCTATAGGACTACCTTGAACAGGGACTGGGGCTGCTCATGAAGGATTAGGTTTCTTTAGGGTTCTGGTCACCAATTCCAATGCATGTATGTGGAGGCTTCCTCATACCAAAAAGCAATTCTTGGACATCAGCGGGGGACTAGAGAATTCAACTCAATTCTGGCACTGTCTACTAAAAGCTGGCACCAAGTTCTACAGGTTATGGGCTCAGTCCTACAGGATGGTTCCCCTCCCCTTTTCAGATGCCAATTGCAAGCTCAGTTTTTCACCTGTGCTTTTTGGTCAAAAGGCTATAGATCACAGGTTCCCAGGACCCCGTACTCAGGGTTCATTTGCTAGAGCAGCAGACGGAACTTACTAGATCAGCAGTTTATTATAAAAGGATATAACTCGGGAACAGCCAGATGGAAGAGATGCATTGGGCAAGGTATGAGGAAGGGTCATGGAGCTTCCAAGCTCTCTCTAGGTTCATTCCCCATTTCCCCAAAATCTCGCCATGTTTACCAACCTGAAGCTCTCTGAACCCTTTCCTTTTGGGTTTTATGGAAGCTTCATTACATAGGCATGATTGATCAACTCTGGGTATTGGTGATTGATTCAGGCTCCAGCTCCTCTCCTCTCCCCAGAGGTTGTGGGTTGGGGAATGAAAGTTCTAACCCTCTAATCGCTTGTTTGGTTCCCCTGGCAACCAGTCCCATCCTTAAGTGTGGTCCAAAAATCATTTCACTAACATGACTAAAGGTATTTTAACCACTCTCATCACAGGAAATTCTGACAGTTTTAGGAATTCGGTGCCCGAAATAGGGACAAAAACCAAATATGTATTTCTTATCGTAAGTCACAATATCACAAGTTTCTAATCTTAGAAATGGCACAGAGGCCAAGGCCTCTGGAGGCCTTTGGATGGACTGGGGTGGGAACCATTTCCTGAGAAGAGGCAGCCTGTTTCTCTGGACTCTTTGCTTACTGTTTGCTTATTCCTTTTATTTCTGTTGTCCCATCAACAACTGCTTTGAATCATAAGATATAATTTATGAGGATATGAGCCATGTGGAATAATAGAGTTGGAAGCTGCATTATTTTCTATCTCTCATACATGTACATCACACACAGTCTCAGATTCATATTAAATGTTTATATTTTTAGAAAAAGTATAAAGACGAAGCAGAGAAGATGCTTTCTAACTATAGTTCTGTGTTAGACACTCCTGAAATTCAGAGAATCAAGATAACTCAACAAAACATTAGTGCGGTGAGTAACTATTACTGCTTCTCAGTGGGCACCTTGAAATTTTGTTTCCAGAAGGAGGGCATTTTTCCTCATTGTCTGATTGTTGCATTGTTTGAATTTTCTATCAAATGTATTATCTTTCCTTCGTTAAAATAACAAGAGTACTGTTAACCAAAATTCAGTCAAGTCAACTTAAAGATCTGATTGGTTTTATTCAATAATTCATGAATCAGGCATGTCCCCTCTAACAGATTTGAGAATGATCAGTAGAGATGTACAAAATGTAAGGCTTTGATAGGCAGAAACCAGCAGGACAAGGAAGTTATTAGCAAGAGAGAAAATAGGATTGCTTCAGACAAGGTCACCTTCCCTTAGGGAAAAAGATGGGGGTCTATCACGCAGATTACCTCTCTAGTGCTGATGAGGAAATTCCAGACTGATTGGTTTAAAATTCCACTCTTGAGAGAAGCTAAAACTGCAATTACTTTAGGTATTAAGTTTTGATGGGTCTTAACATGAGTGACTCCATTTTGGGCCTGTTGTTTCCCTTTAATAGTACCAAATGTTCTTATATGGTAAAATTTATCATGATTGTTTTGGAATTACAAATTCAAATTTTCTTCTGTGGTACAAGCAAGAGTTCTTTTTAACTGAAATTTAAAATTTTACTCACGGAAGAGGTCTTAATCTTCCACACAGATTTTACTTTGGAGATGAGAATAATCCTATAAAATGACTTCCTTCCTGATCACTGATTTGCCATGATAATGTATTTAGGAATTTACTAGTTTATAACCAACTCCTAAACTTTTATATTTTTTACTTTGAGGAATAGGAGTTGTATCAGCAATCATTAATTAAGGGACGAGTCTATGTTTGATGGATATACAAACCTGAATTCTAAAATTATAAAAATTGACCATACAGCCAATATTTATAAGTAGAACTAGCTCATTAATCATTTAGTAGTTAAGTAAAGGTCCCATCAAAATACAAATTCTATGAAGTCTGAGGACTTTCGGAATATTTCTACTTTGTAATAAATTGGCAAACTCAAAACCTCCAGGTGTGCTAGTCAGGTACCGTTAGGGCCTTCAAAGCAAGTGTGCTAAGAAAGGGAAGAGTCTGGCTTGAAGGGATGATCAGGGGGTAAAAGATGTTTTTACTCTTATCTCCTGTGATTCCATGTGTTATAGATTTTTTCTGTGGGGGAAAACATCTCTGAGGCCATACTCTCCCAACCCCCATTAGGGCTCACTGAGTTACCAAGTCTTAACAGAGGGAATAGTTTTGTCCTCATCTGCCTTTCTGATATTTACTCTACTATTCGGTAAGACATTTTGTTTCTTCGTTTTGCTTTGTCTTAGAAAGGCCCGGATTGTTGGTAGGAGTGGAGAGCCATGTGGGCAGGTTAACGAATAAGTAGAAGAGACGGAAATAGACTGAATAAACTTTTGATGTTGATGATGAAGCCACTATTTTCTGTGAAGAGAATGAGGACATCTTTGTGTTTGGAGAATAGCACTTGCTTAAAATTTCATGCCATTTTTTAATTAAATGAAACTGCTTAGTAAGCTTTTCTAATATGTGCTTTGCTTTTTCTCAAACACACATATGATACATGTTTATATTTGAAGAAGGAAACTCTAGTTTGCCAACTTTTTTTTTTTAAGATTTTATTTATTTATTTGACAGAGATCACAAGTAGGCAGAGAGGCAGGCGGTGGGGGAGGGGAAGCAGGCTCCCTGCTGAGCAGAGAGCCACTTGGAGGGGTTGATCCCAGGACCCTGAGACCATGACCTGAGCTGAAGGCAGAGGCTTTAACCTACTGAGCCACCCAGGTGCCCCAAGTGTGCCAACTTCTATTCTTAGACCACATAATCTGCAGCCATGTCAGTTACCACACACGAGGTGTCGGGGGTTACCTGTGGGATGCTGTGGAATGTGAGACCCAAATTGGACATTTATTCTCATAATGGATTATTTGATTGATATAACCTCATGACTCATAAACAGAAGCTGTATTCACATTACCTGAGAACCTAAGAAACTGTCTTTCTTTAATAAGAATCTGATCTAGGACCTGAATTCCAATAAGCTTCTAGTTATTCTTTCCTTCTCTTATGATAAAGATATTTTATAAGAAAGAAATAGGAGGGGCGCCTGAGTGGCTCCGTGGGTTAAAGCCTCTGCCTTCGGCTCAGGTCATGATCCCAGGGTCCTGGGATTGAGCCCCGCATCGGGCTCTCTGCTCAGCAGGGAGCCTGCTTTCTCCTCTCTCTCTCTGCCTGCCTCTCTGCCTACTTGTGATCTCTGTCTGTCAAATAAACAAATGGGATCTTTAAAAAAAAAAAAAATCAAAAAAAAAAAGAAATAGGAGCCGGCACAGCAGTAAAAGATACTCCAGAGACTGAATGAGTGAAGAAAAATCAGCAGAATATTAGTTCAGTAAAGTGCTTTACAACATTAATTATCCTTTCCAAAAGCAAACATAAGCTAGATAAATGTTTTTAGTTCTTTGCTAAACTGGCTGCTTTTTCTTTTAGTCTTCACTTTGTTAAAATGCTATTTCATCAAATATCAAAGGTTTCACTTTCAGAAGGAAAACTGTAGCCTTGTTCCCCTTGAACCTAAAGCAGTGTTTCATCTTGATCTATCATAGTGCACGAGAGATAGATCACTTTAATAGTCCAGTAATGAAATCTAGGATTAGATTTCATCTTTTGAACAGAATTTTAACTGCATTAAATTTTTCAGAGGAAAGATAAATTTCAGTACCTCTTCACAACTTGGAGGAAAGAAATTTTACCCTACAGAACGATTAAAGGCCCTTAGTACATTTATTTGGTGGCATAAGAGAAGGCTTCAGAGGCCCCGTTTGTGTTCTACTTCTTCCAGCTTTCAGCAAAGCAAAAACATGCACCTTTGCTATAATTTGCAAAATAACTTACCCTCCAACTCTCTTTGAGCTTGGAGGGGGAGGGAAGAAGGGGTGCTTACTATTATGGGTGAAAACTTTTTCATTCGGTATTTGACATTTACAATGGAGACTTGCTATCCTTATCAACAGGAATTCTTCCATGGATATGTAGTATATTTAATTTCATTCATTCTTTCTTTCTTTTCTTTTTCTTTTTTTATTTTTTAGCATTTTGTAGCCATAAAGTATTTTTATTTTATTTTATTTTAGGGAGGGAGAGAAAGAAACTTAAGCAGGCTCTTTGTCCAGTGAAGAGCCCCACATGAGGCTCGATCTCAAAACCCTTAGATATGACCTGAGCCAAAATCAAGAGTTGGATTCTTAACTGACTGAGCCACCCAGGCACCACATATATTTAGTTCCTTGTTGAGGAAGTCTTAAAGGTTCTTTCCTGAAATCCCCTTCTCCTTTCTCTTCACCTTCCCTCTTGAAGGCAGAGCCTTTAAGTAATTCAAGTAGAACAGCCTGGGTTAGACATCTCTGTCAGGATAGTTACGTGGCATTCTAGAAGATGAATGCACATGGGCTTTTGTGGAGAAAGAGTAGGAAAGTCAAGGTAATGCTGTTATAAAGCACACTTCAAAAAAATCTGCAGAATACTAGTGCAATAAAATTTCTGTAGCATGAATGAACAAAGCTTTCTCCTGAAGAAAGCGTGAGGAGAAGGAGCTTACAGTGAGGGCGTGCAAATGTGTTCTGATCCACTGTGGCGAGAGCCTTGTGTCTGGCCATGCTGGGGTCCGCTGGGGAAGTTAGTTTGGCAGAAAAGAATACAATGTTTGTTTCCTTCACTTCCAAATGATAATATTTGAAATGTACCCATCAGTGTACTGAAATACAATGTTATAAATGTTCTGTAGTATGCAATTCCATCGCCTATAGGAGGATGACTGTGCCATTTTGATTAGTTTAAAGTCGTATGAAAAACACAAATGTTCATCTTTAATCACGTTTAGCTTCTCACCCGAGGAAAATCACGCAAAGTAGTATGGTAGATCATTTCTTTTTCCAGCATTCCGCTGCCTATCCTAGCAAACAATAAATGTTCTGTATCTCTATGAGGTTGGGGCAATAAACTCCTGCTTAGTATTCAAATGGAAAGTTGCCCTTTCAAGATTAGCCAGATCTGTCAAACCAAGATATGATTCTCTAACATTTAAAGATCTCGACATTTTCCACCTCCCCTGTACAAGCGTTTTAGCTATTAGCTTTCCCCGTTAAGAACTATTTTTGAATCTTTATTTAGAGGTGGTCTTTTGCAGTGTATTCTCGATTTAACTGTTTCAGATCTGGACTCATATTGCCATTGTTACTCATATTAAACCTAAGGCTCCTAGGACATAGACATGTAGGTTACCATTTCTTTGCCACCGTCAGCGTGGATTTCAGCCTGAATCATTTAAACATTACCCAGTGATTTCTTTTTTTTTTTTTAATGATTTTATTTATTTATTTGATAGAGATCACAAGTAGGCAAAGAGGCAGGCAGAGAGAAAGTGGGGGCGGGGGCGGGGAGCAGGCTCCCTGCTGAACAGAGAGCCCGATGTGGGGCTTGATCCCAGGATATGACCTGAGCCGAAGGCAGAGGCTTTAAGCCACCCAGGCGCCCCTACCGAGTGATTTCTAAAACCTGGTTTGCGTAGATTTAAGTCTTTGCTTAATTTCAACATTGGCCTCTTCATTTTTGCCTGCATTTGCTACATGTAAATATTTATGTGTGTCCTTTTTCTTGAATCTAATCTTCCATGAATCTTAGACTTATTAAAATACCACTTGATACGATGGTATTACTAATCATTTCATAAATTCAAAGAGCTGTCTCTCATCTCATGCATAACCGCATGCTAACATGACCATTTTTGTCTGGTTGATCTTCCTTTAAATAGATTTGAGGGAATAGCTTTTGAATAAAGTGGGTGCCAGGATATGGGCTGGATTTGTAGAACATGATTCTGTGGGTAGAAGACACTTCCCGACTTTCTGCCACAGGCCCTTCAATACAAATCAGGGGCCTTGGCCTCTGCTTTTTTGTACATTTCCCCCCACCTTCCACTTTCTCTTCTTTTGTTCTGCCACTTTATTTTTTTCCTTATTCCAGAATATTTGCATGCTCTCACCTAAATAAGCAGTCTTCCCAAGACTCTGTAGCAAATGCAGTTTGGCTTTTGTCTTTAAATCCATGATACATTTAAATTCACACATTAATGAGTAGAAACTGCTTTTTGGCTAGAAACTTATAAGTTATTATATTCCTTAGGAGGATTTCCAAGGTTTTTTGTGTATCTGCCTAATGATAAAATTTATTTTCATAAGCAACATTTGCTTATTTTAATGAAATAATTCCTATGGTGATGGCTAGGTGAATAGATATGAGTTCATTGGCACGTTTGGATAAAAAAAAGCATCATCCCATAAAATAAAATAAAAATTTCTGTTCCCCCTGAAGGAGAATTACTGTTGGGAGTTTAAAAATTCAGCTGTGTCATAGTTACGAATGCAAGAGTCTTACCTATCTTTTAAGCCTTGCATTGAAGAAAACCCACATTGTTTTTTTCTGTTTGTTTTGTTTTTAATAATTTACCACCTTATTTCTTAAATACATAATGCAGGTAAAATACAAAGAAGAGATGCATCAGGCCACGGCCATTTCCGATCCTCCGGAGCTAAAGAGAGCTAAAGAAAACCAGAAGAACATCAGCAATGTGTGATCATATTTCTTGAGTACCATTTTCTATTTCATTGAATGGCAGTAGGCAGGGAGGGCGTGCACTTGTACGAGCGAAGCCCTAGGACAATGCAGTTGCAGGAGGCCCAGTTGCTAGAAGATGGAGCTAAGATGCCTCCGCCTTTAGGCTGGGCTGGCATGGCCCCTCCTATGTGCATTTATGCATCAAAGGACATGTTACTTGAATGCCCGCTCAGTTCTTGTTCTGGGGAAATTCAAAGCTGAGTGTGACTTCTCCAGGCCTCTAGGAGAAACAGACATGGGAATAAACACCCACTGTGCATGATGAGCTATCACAATAGTTAATATTTACTGACTGTTTGCTATGCTTGTGGAGTACATTACACGTGGTGTCTCATTTAATGATAAATAATGATTCCTTTTGCGAAGTGCTGTGGAAATGCAGAGGAGGAAGGCAGTGTTCGTGGTAGAGAGGGGAAGACCCTCTGGGGAAGTGTAACATTTGAGTTAGATCTCGAAGGGTTAATAAGAGTTGGGGTGGATTTTGTGAGGAAGTGCCTTCCTGGCATCTGTACAGGTTCTACATGCTGGTCAAGAAGGGGAAGGTTTAGTGTGATGAGTGCATGGGGTAGAAGGTGGCAGGGACCTGCTGGTGCAGAGAGAAGTAATTCGGGCCCTAAGGAGGTGAGTTGGGAGTCCTGGTGTTTCCCGAAGTGCGGTTCACGTGTAACTGACAGGTGCTCCTCCCACGAGCAGGTCTCGGCTTAGGGATTATAATGTCTTAATGTGTCCCTTTTTCTAAAAGAAAGGGTAATAGTTTTCAATGTGTCAGAGAGACCTAACACCCCCTTAAAATAACTTTATTTGCAAATAGTAGTGAGTTAATTTAATGAAAGACTAATATTGTTGATCATAGCATGCTTGAGAGCCGGCCTGGCATACGGTAAGGGCTGTGCACATGTTAGAAACAGGCACCATACTGGAGTCGCAGGAAATACGGGGACCCTGGTCTGCTGGCTGGATCCCAGCTTCAGCCTTTACTCGCTGTATACCCTTTACAAACCCCCACCTCTCCCAGCCTCAACTTCCTTATCTATGAAGCCGGGACGAGGGTATTATGTGAGATTGTGCCTGGAGAGCACTTAGCCTCTCTGTGAATGAATGAATGAAAACAAGACGTGAAGAGTCCCCAGTATCAGGTTTACATCCCCAGACTTACATCCACTGCCAAGTGGCTACAACAGTTTCTCCACCTCCGTCATGCTGGTCAGCAGCATTTTCCCCCTCCGTGCTCTACCCGGAGTAATCTTTCCTTGCATCCTGGCCATCAGTAGAGCGGACACTGGACCTTTTTTCACTTTAACTGAGACAATTCATTATCCCAGATACAGAATCTGCCTAAATTCTCAACCACATCTCCCAGCACAAAGAAAGGCGCCCACTGAGGAAAGCAGTCCCCCAGAAGGGGCCTGACCCTTTGTCTTTTATTTCCCGGCTGATCAAGCTTCTCTTCACTGTCATGTTAGTGGCTGAGGGGTGCAGCTCAAGTGCATTTTTATCCGCAGGCCCCACAGGTCCTGTGATGTCTCGCAAGAAAAAAAAAAAATCCCTTCCACTAAATTTAAATTCCAGAAAATCATTAAGACCATCCCTGTGGAGTTCCTCATAATAGGATTTTCACCTTCAGTTTTACTTTTTGCCTGTCAAAAATTCGTTTGACAGACATGCTGTTCCATTTCTTTGTGCTGGATGCTCATTTATTTCCCGGGGGTGTCATGGGATTGCTGGAAAACTGACCACAAATGTCAGGGTCTGATCCTCCCAGCCAAGAAAGAGCACGTCCTAGGCAGTAGGTCAGGCAGATTTCCATAATGCCAGTCCAAGCGCAGGCTTGCCATCGTGGGCACTCGGTAGAGAAGGGAAACGTTGAGGTTCGGGGTGTGTTTCTGTAGCAACAGTCTGTCACAGAGGTGCACGTGTGGGACGGGGGCAGCCCTCCTCGCTGATGACAAGAATATACACCTTTTATTGTTAAATATAAAATGGTGGTTTGATAGTGTTGCTTTAGTGCTATGAAGAAATGAATTCACAGAAGGGGTAATTTCTTATGACCAATAATGGCCAAACTCAAACCACCAATACATAAGACAATTCCAAAGAAGTACCACCAAAACACGGAATTCAAAACATTCGGACAAGAAGGCATTAGGAGTCTGGGATGAGTGTGTTAGAGACGTCTGTTAGGAATGCCTATTTCACTTTACAATCCTAATGAAGATTTTAACTAACTTAACGCCCTGTAGCCGTGGGGCATTCCTTCTAGTCTGTTCTGGACGGTGGGTGCACACCTCTTTTGCCTAACTCCACGTGGTCTTGGACCTTGTCCCACAGCTCCAGTACAAACAGCAATGCCCCAAGGCCACGCCGGTGAGCGTCACGCCAGAGATGGAGAGGGTGAGGAGAAACCAGGAGGAGCTGAGTACGGCAAGTGGTTCTGTGTTCTCTATTGTCAAGTGTTAACGAATTTTTCTCCTTCCTGCTGCTCTCTGAAAACCTCGAGTCCTTCACAGGACTGGATGCTCCTTTTCATGGTCATGTGCTTGAGGGCATGAACTTTGGTTCTTTCCTGTGATCCCGGAAGTGCAGGACTGTCTTGCTGTGATTTAGCCATGCTTGTTTAGTCAAGAAATCTTCAGTAAGCCCCCCCAGTATACAGACTGTACACAAAGATGGGCAAGACCTAGTTCCTGTCCTCATGGACTTCATAGTTGAGTAGGTAAATCTCTAGTTTCAGGGAAGGGTCTGGAGAGAAGTGGATCTGTTGTCAGTCTGAGAAAAAACAAAACAAAACTTGTTGGAATAGAGCAAAATGAAGACCCGGCTGGGCTGGGATTCAAAGGCATAATGTCAGAGCAGGAAACCTTTAAATAAAATGAAAAACTTTAGTCAGTCAGTAATGTGTTGCTAATAAATCAGTGAGGGTTAACAGTCAGGAGATACCGCTAACAGGGCTCCTGTATGAACTGCTTTATGTGAATCCATGAGGTTGGCACAAGTTATTTCTCTGGTTTGTAAGTGCCAAAAACTGAGTCTTGGGGAGGTCAGAGGACATGCCGGGGACCCATAGTTTGAAGAATAGAGATGGGATTTGAACCCAGGCCTCCCTCAATTCAGAAATCCCTTTCAAAGTACCCCCTATTAGGTATTTTTTCCCATTTTGGGGACCCTTTCATGGAAATTTTACCAAAATAAACAATAGCCTTCTTCTTCCCTGAAAGGGAATTTTGAAAGACTTTAAAATTTGAGTGTGAGTTCTTCCAGGTGGAGGAGAAAATCAGGCTGAACACTGCTTTATTCGAATAATACCCTTGGAATGTGGTAGGAACAAGGGGTCTTCAGCTTCTTTTGAAAGCCTCAGGTCAGAAGGAGAGTAAAGGGCCACCACTCGGCTACCTCACTGTGGTTCTCTTGCAATGACTTCATTCCCTGTGTCTCCCTTATGTTTCCATGGCTTTCAGTTAACGGAATTGGCAGTGAGCTTTGGTATTCAACAGCAAAGTATTTATTGAAAAATCAGAAGAATCAGGATCCAGGTGTAGATAGGAACTGAAGGGTGGGTGCTTAACTACAGTGGGGGAAAATGTGTACAGAAAGGGTCAATTTTGAGGTTCCTCCTCTACAGTGTGTGGGGGAAACCATTCTACTATCTGTTGAAACTCTTGCTTATCCTCTGCAGGTGAAATACAAAGGAGAAACTAAACAGGCAACGGCCATTTCTGATCCACCAGAGCTGAAGAGAGTTAAAGAAAATCAGAAGAACATCAGCAATGTGTGACCTTAGTAGCTTTCTTTCTCATGATAGCAAACATATTATGGACATGTTGTCGAAGGGGTCACGTTGATAACATTTTCATAACCTTGAGTTGGCTCTTCTGCTCTCCATTGCCTGCCAGTTTACTTGAAAGGTTGTAGGGTCTGCGGTGGGGTGGGTACAGACAGGCATTCCGTCCTCTAGATTTCCCAGTGACCGCCAGTACGATTTTGGTACTGCGTGTCCCTCTCATCTTGTCTGCGTGCTTACAGCTGCTGTGTTTCCCCAAAGGGATGCGGTGGTGGCTTCTAGCATCTTGGCCCTTCAGATAAGCTTTCCCACTGCTTTTCCTACTAGTATATGTTCTTGTTCACTAGCCTGTCCGGTCCCATCGCCCACTCCCAGCTACTGTTGCTTTATTTTTGGACAGCGTCTTGGGGGAAATGATAAAGTGTGCATGCCTGAAGAGATCACAAGGGACGGGCCCCATGGGAGCTGTCAGTTTTTACTCAGGCACCAATCCCTGGCGTGTTCTCAACCCCCTTCTGTTTTTTTTTTTTTAATTTTTAAATTTTCTTATAAACATATAATGTATTATTAGCCCCGGGGCTACAGGTCTGTGAATCGCCAGGTTTACACACTTCACAGCACTCACCATAGCCCATACCCTCCCCAATGTCCATAATCCCACTGCCCGGCAACTCTCAGGTTTGTTTGGTGAGATTAAGAGTCTCTTATGGTTTGTCTCCCTCCCTTCCTACCCCCCAAACCCTCCACGTTGCATCTCCATTTCCTCATATCAGGGAGATCATATGATAGTTGTCTTTCTCTGATTGACTTATTTCGCTAAGCATAATACCCTCTAGTTCCACCCACGTTGTCACAAATGGCAAGGTTTCATTTCTTTTGATGGCTGCATAGTATTCCATTGTATATATGTACCACATCTTCTTTATCCATTCATCTGTTGATGGATATCTAGGTTCTTTCCATAGTTTGGCTATTGTGGAAATTGCTGCTATAAACATTTGGGAGCACGTGCCCCTTCGGATCACTACGTTTGTATCTTTAGGGTAAATACCCAGTAGTGCAATTGCTGGGTCATAAGGTAGCTCTATTTCCAACTTTTTGAGGAACCTCCATGCTGTTTTCCAGATGTTAACCCCCTTCTGTTTATGTAATCACGGCTGTAGGTCACTGAGAGAATCCTTTTTTGAGGTCATTAAGGTCATTAACATATAGATTGGGTTCTCTGGAAGAGGAAATCTAGAAATCTATTAGGTTCAAAGAAATCTTTTCTTCTTCAAACCTTTAAAGTCTTATGAGCTTATAAAACAAAGGCAGGTCACTGTTTGGCACTTCTCCTCACAACTGTGTTTTGGAGAATAGATGCTCATCTTTTCCTGATCTATGTAAAATCACAGTTGACATAACTCCATTAGTCTCAGAAAGGAACATGTTACTGAGAAGGAAGAATGGGGCCGTGGGAAGCACGCTGGCCTGTTTATGCGTGACGTCGGTCCCCTACTTAGGCATCTTTTCAAAAGTTCTGCTGCATGCAGTTAATTACTGACAAACTGTAATAGTGTATGGGTAGGAACACCTTTAAGGGATATCCGTGAAGACATTTCTCCTCTTCCTTTGTGATACAATGCTTCTGACAGCTTTACTGACGGTACGCTCATATATTTGAGTGACTTCATTCCCAGGGATTCATGCTATGGGAGGAATGAAAATAGATTGATTTAAAATGCAAGTATTTTAAATATGGTTAGCCCTCTAGATGGCATTCTCCTTTTTTCATAGTTCCCTTTCTTGGCTAGCTCCTTAAGATAGCTACTGTGAGATGATTATTTATTCGGATTGATTCACAGTCCTCTTATTTTTTATTCTCTGAAATGGCAGGTTCATTATAAAGGTCAACTGGGAAGATCTACAGCTTTAAGCGTAACTCCTGAAATGGAAAGAGTGAGGAAGAACCAAGAAAATATCAGTTCGGCAAGTGGTTTTATCCATTTTGGTCTGTTACAAAGGATGCGTCCGTTATTATTTACTTGCAGTCCTGTTTGTCTTTTTTTTTTTCTTTTGTGAAAATAAAAAGTATTTTCAAGCAGCATCTGTGATACACGCAGTAAGTACATGTGTTATTTCCAATGACTTCCATTGCAAAACTTGACGTTATCCCGCAACCCTTCATTGCTCTTTCCAGATGTGATCAATGGTTACCTTCAAAGCTTAGTTCAAAGCTTAGTTTCAGACTCTATCATGCTCATTTAAACAGTGATTCAGGTTATGTTAGCCAGTGTCTTTGAAAGTGGTGACGTCTTTGATGCGCAAGTTACGGTAGTGTCACTTTGCAGATGTACTCCATTGGCTGCGGATTCTTAAATGTTCTCAGCAAAACAAAATCAGGAATGACTCGTTACACCAGAGTAAGGACATAGAGGAAAAAAAATCTTTCAATGCATTGACTATAGAATTCAGCTACTCATTAAAGTCCTTATTTGAACAGGATGCTTTCTCTTAGTAAGTATTGGGGCCCGAATTGCACATGGGTGCCCAAGCCCTCGGTGATTGCTATCCTAATGGCATGCATAAACAGCTTCATAAACAGCGGTGTTCTGCCTGCTGGCTGTCCAGAAGAGCTTGCTTATGCCTGGGAATCAGCATTCAGGTTTTACACTTTATGGCTCTCCAGTGGCATTTCTGCCCAGAGGTGCTGACTGTATTTGACGTAAATTACCTTTAAGCTGTGGCTGCTTAGAAGGAAATTCGATTTTGATACTCCTTGTTTTTCTTATCCTTTACGGTGGGAAAAAAAAGAAAAGGAAATAGAGGGATGCTTGGGTTTGGTATACATTCAAGAGTGTTGTGGTGGAAAATGGGTAAATCCTAGAAACAGGACAACACATTTAGGTTTCATTTGGTTTGGGTTTTTCCTGTTTAACGGAAGTGTGATAAGCACTTTTCCTGACTACATTGTTAGTGGGTATCAGTCATTCACACACCATTCTTGATTCATAGAGAGACTTAGGTTGTCTTTGCTGCAGCTTTTCAAGGTGAATTTTGAGAGTAAAATTTTAGATTGTTACCCTAGAATGACAGGTAATTCACTGAACAACTTCCCTGGGAAAGAATTGGAAATATGTTGTATGTGTTTCACTCGTTTGGAAAGTCTGAAAAGTTATGTAATGTTTTCTCTTAAAATTGTCTTATTGTTAAGTACATTCTACTATTTACTTTGCAGGTAAAATATACCCAGGACCATAAACAGATGAAAGGTAGACCAAGTCTGATTTTAGATACACCTGGTCTGAGATATGTCAAAGAAGCACAAAATCATATTTCAATGGTAGGGTACAACCAGCTCCTTCTTCTCATGACTAAAACATACTAAGGAATGGCCCCACCCAGTGTACTGACGGCGTCGTTCACCATTAATCTGGATAACTAACAAAGCATGAATGCAAAGCAAAATGTGGATGGGCCCATCCATTTGAGGGGACTTTCTAATCACACTGAAATGTAATGGACATCTTTAGTCCTAATAAAGTAATTTTTCTCAGTGATATTTTGGGTGTGTTTTTATTTCTAACATGACTACTATAAATGCATTTTATGAGAAACATTTGTTTGGACTTCTTTTCAAGTAATTTTACAACAGAGCTTTGTATGTTTACATGTTGCAAAGAATATAAAAAATGTGTATGTTTTTTAAAGCAGTTTCATGAGGTACAATTTATACGCAATAAGGTTTATTCATTTAAAGTGTACAATTCAGTGGTCTATAGTAAAATTTACAGGTCCAATTTCAGAACATGAAAAAAGTGTATGTTTTGAAGTACATATATCCATTTTTGCAATAATATACAAAAATTATACATATCATTATTTTTGACTCAATCTAATTTTAAATAATACTGTTTTCTTGGATAATTGTGTGGAAATAACATGTCATTTTAATACCTGTTAAAGGATCAAAGATAGAAAATTAATTTGTACCTAAGTTAGTACATTTTAGGAAATCACCAGGATTAAAAAATAGATGTATCTTTTAAACCTTCTCACTGATATACTGTACTGGTTTATATATAAATTTAAAAGAGCTGCTAACCATAATGATGGAAAACATTGTGAAAATATCAGCAGTTGATTCCTGATGCAAGGAAGTTGACACTAATTTCGGAATAATTGGAAAAGATATATATATATGGGAAACAATCTAGATGCAGCTGAATCTAGATGCAGTTGATTCTAGATACATAAATGTGGAGAATGATCTAGAGGCAGCTGCCATATCAACATTTTGTGAAGTATGTAACAATCAGGAAATTTCAGATCGAGTTCATGTTGTTTTCCTTTTTTTTCAGGTAAAGTATCATGAAGACTTTGAAAAGACAAAGGGAAGGGGCTTTACTCCTGTTGTAGATGACCCTGTGACGGAGCGAGTAAGGAAGAACACCCAAGTGGTCAGCGATGCGGCCTACAAAGGTGTCCATCCTCACATCGTGGAGATGGACAGGAGACCTGGGATCATTGTCGGTAAGCTGATGGTCCTCCTTGGCAGGTCCACACAGTCAAAAAGATTGTCCTTGGCCTAGCTTTTGAATCAGCCTACTTATTCACTAGACGACTCCTCAAATGTTTGATATGGTGCCCATCTAAGCACAAACCATGGGCTGTTATTGTTGGTGCCATGTTGAATGGGATCTGTGGTACTTGCCAGGTTATCAGTGCCAATCCATTCTGTTATTGGACCTTCTCTGTCTTTAATAACTTTCTGGCCTTAAGAGTGTATTTGTATTTAAGCTCAAATACAAGACATGAGTAATAACAATGGTTGAAAAATTATTTTGTTTTCCTTTTCGCTTATGTATTTGTGTATGTATTATGTATATGTTTTCCTTTTCGCTTGATCAATGCATTGTACTGCAGACATCGTCTACATGGGGGACAGAAATAACAGAAAAAATCCCATTTTGGTTCTTTTACTACAAATAAAAGTGCTAGAGAGATTCTGATAGTATTCCATATATGAATACCTTTTTTTTTTTTTAAATATTATCTCTGAATGGGGATAATTGGGAGCTGTCTACAAATGCCATAAATCTGAGACGAAGGAAGTTTCTCTCCTCACTGTTCTTCTTGTCCGTCTGGGGACATCTTAGGAATGTAGTCTTGAATGGTGGCTGAGATAGCAGTGACCACCCCAGAGTATAAGGAAGGGCTAGAAAGACAGTTATTGACTTTTCAATACCTATCAATGGCCCATACTTCCAAATGACTGTTGTCTGAATTTTCATAGCTAGTCCAGTCCTAAAGCTCAGGTAATATTTTTGGAAACCATTCCACAGGCTCGTCAATAATCTGAGTGTTAGGTTAGCTTTTTCTTCACAGGGAAGAGCTTATTTCTTTTGGAACTAGTGAAGGCCATTTAGAGGTGGGCTGTGCAAAGGAAGTGTGTATCTGACTGGATACTGTGTTAACGTAAAGCAACAATACTGAGATCAGGGCATTAAGTTCCTTGAATGATTTAGTGAGTCTGAAAGTCCTTCTCACAGAGGGATTCCACACACGTTTGCACACTACTGACAGCTCTTCCACATCTTCCAAAGGTGACTTTGTAGAAGGATCACCGTAATTTGGGTGGATGGGCTGAGATGTTTTCATTGAAAGTAACATGGTGTTAATTTCATTGCCTTGGTTTAACATCTCACGCGGGATGGTGAGAACAGAGGCTCCGATTTGTCCCTCAAGGGTGGAGAGAGATGCTGAGAGTCTGCACAGCTTACGCCGAGGTCCTCTGCCCTAGATCAGGGCCAGGAGTGATGGTGAAATTCTTGTTAGAAACTGGGAGATTGTCTAGTCTTCAAGATCTCAGAATTCAGTACTCACTATCTTTGAGATAGAAAACATTATTTATTTATTTTTAAATTTCAACATATATGTCTTTAAATTATTCCCTTACTGGGAGTCACTTTACTTCTTCTTACTGGGGGAGACTGTTTTCTTTGAGGACTTTCTTATGAAGCCACAAAATGAAGTACATTGAACAAACAAACTCTGAACCAGGCGGGGAAATGCAGATTTGGAGATTTTCTGAGCAATTCAGACTAAGCCAATTTGTGCTGCTTCTACCTTTGCTGGAGGCTATGCTATTTCCTAGTTGTGTACCTGTGGCCAGGCTAACTCCATCTCTCTATATCTTCATTTCCCCCTCTATGAAACGGGATAGTAATAGTGCCTACTTAAATATGGCGTGACGCGTAAGTGAGTTACATTGTTGACCGACAGTGGTGCCCGCACGTAGTAGGAATGTGACCCTCAGAGCTCTACTTCTAGTTCATTAATTGTTTTTACTCCGTAGCTAGATTTTTCAACCTCCGCTGGTGAGTACAGCGCTGTGCAGATTATTTTAGGACCTGAGCACCATTAGTTGGAGACGCCGGTGAACCTGGAAGTTATTATATTTGGATTTTGCCTCTGACTTAAATAGGAGAGTCGACTGGCCTGCTCAGTCTGGTTGCTAAGCATGGCAGTGAACACATCTCCCGTCCTCTGAGAGCAGGAGGCTGCTCCTTGCTCGTCTTTCCATCCCTTGTTGTTCTTCGCTCAGTGCTGTGCATTACTGCACTTTTCCCATAAATGTGTCTTGTGTGGGTTAAGCTTGCACTCATGGGCTCCCCATAAAAGTTGGGCTGGCCACTTACCTACATTTTAAACATTTGTTTCAGGGAGAGAAGTTTTTGTTCTTCGTTTTCTCAGACAAAATCCTCTCAGTCATGAATGACTCAGGCATCCTTGCTCAGGAGTGTAAAGCAAACATTTTACCTCTTTCAGCGTATGGAGAGCATGAGTGCTGGGGGTTCGGGGATGCGGGGACTTGTTGGTGTGTTGGGTGATGAGTGGCGGGCTCCAGGTGGCAGGTCAATGAAGAATAAACCAGGCAAGTGAACTTTGCTAACAAAGTTTTCTTTCTAAGGCCTTGTGGATGTGACTGTCCCTTTGTTCTCCTCTGAAGTGCAACGGGTTTGCTCATTACCGGTTTGCTGATGACATGCTTCTTTTTCCAGACTTATGCTTGACTCTGATGCTGACTTTTTAAAATTCAGTCTTGATTTTTTGATTTCTTCCTTTTGGTAAAAGACCTCAAAGTTTGGCGTACAGATCCTGGCTCCATCTTCGACCTTGATCCCCTGGAAGACAATATTCAGTCTAGAAGTCTCCATATGCTCTCTGGTACTGCTTACATTTTGAGTTCCTCCCCGTTTATGTGGTTTTGTCCTGAGAGTGAAGCTACCCTGAGCGGTAGAGGCTCATGGTACTGACTGTGTGATGTAAATTGTAAAGCTGAGGATTTGAAAAACAAAACAAACAGAGAAACAAATACTATGCTGCTTTAAAATACCATTAATCATTTATGAAAGCAAACTCACAAAAGGGCTTTTTAAATATATTTTAGATTCGTTTGCTCTAGATTCACTTAGAAAGGTGTCCAGAGATTCCTGATGTCTGCTTTTCATTAGTGAATGTGATTTTATAGGTTTTGGGGGGCTTGCAAATGCAGTCTTTGGAGTGCACTAAAGTGCTGAGACAGAAGTTTGTTTCATGGAAAACACTGTTCCAACATTTTAAAGGTAGATGTTAAGAACCATATATAAAACAGTGGGGAGGTTTTCTAAATAGCATCATGAACGTGTTAAAATAAAATAGACTTTTAAGTACCCTTAAAATGTATCTCTGAGTGTTTGTATAACACAAAATTTATAGTGTATAGATATGCAGGTTTATTTGACTTTTAATTTAGACCGCATGTTTCCAATTAAAAGCAAAACCTGAATGGTTTGGCTCTTTGGGTACAGTGATAGCATGGTTTAACATTTCAAGCTTTTAGATGGTGTTTAACAGACTGAAGCTGTGACAGTTATGCAATTATTTTAAACAATATAAATAGATGTATCCTATCCATTGGGTCTAACTCTATCTCCTGATTTATACTCCACATTTAATTACTGACATTAAATAATATGAAACTGAAAGCCCAAGGCAAAGTAGGGACTCTAATACTTTTGTAATCGGTTTGATCCACATCCTCTGCCAAATTGCCCTTAAACTTTCTGAAAGTAAAGAAAAGGCAACAAATGCTGTATGCTTGGGGATTGTTGAAAATGATTATATCTAACCAGACGTTAAGTTTAATAGAAATATTTTAGTTTGCTAGAGTTTCTTAGTTCTTGTCAATTTTCCATCCCCCATTTCTCCTTGAAAATCTAGACTTACAATGAGTATGAATGATTTTTCAACATTTATACGTTTGACGCAATGTGTGCTGACATTTGGTAGTAGGTGACTAGAGCTTGTAGTAGTTGAGCTTTGGGTTTTTTATTTAGTAAGAGACTGTTTTTCTTCCTTGTTAAACTTTTAAGTAATTTTTCTTCTTCTTCTTTTTTTTTTTTTTTTTTTTTTTTTTGTTCTTCAAGTCACTTACTCACAAACTTGAATATTTTCCCTCCAATATAGAAAAGGCGAATCACTACAGGAGACTCTGTTCTCGGTCTCACTCGAGCAGTACTTTTGGTACAGGTCTGGGAGATGACAAGTCAGAAATTTCTGAGATTTACCCTAGCTTTTCATGCTGCAGCGAGGTAACCAGACCGTCGGATGAAGGAGGTAGCAAACATTAACCAGTCTCAGAGAACAATAATGCATTTTTGTAAACAAGTCACGGGTGCTTCTAACATTCTTTACCTTTGCACAAACATGGAGCCTGGGTGCATTTGAAAATTTTAAATTCTGTTTAGAAAGTTGAGTCCTTTTCTTTTAAGCTACTAATTTGCATTCCTGCATGTTTGTTTTTCCTGTCTTACTTCACTATTTTCACCACCAATGGATCTTTAATGACAGAAGAGTCTTGGGACCTGTACATGAGTCTGTTTCACAGTTGGATGTGATGGACACATGCAGCCAGAGTGGACACTGGAGTTCTGTGGAGCTTCTATCTGATTTCCATTAAGTTATATTTGAGTTATAAGTTATATGAAGTTAAGTTATAAGTTATATAAATATAACTTATAGTTATATTTGAGTGACTAAGAGGGGTTGCTCTGAATTTGTATGCATTGCAATATCAATATATATTTGTAGACAGAGCTAGATCTTGCCTAAAGCAAATTGAACGTGATACTTGAGATATGAGATTTTTTTTTTTAAATGGAAAAATGCTATTGATAGTAATCTTCCTTATATTTCCTGTAGTCATCCTCTCTTCTGTTTCTGCATCCAAGCTAGTGGGTTAGGTCTAGACCTTTTAGTTGAAATTGCTTTGGATGTTAAACTAATCCTGAGGATAAAAGTCTTACATCAGATGTTTAACACTGTGGTGCAGCTACATTTTGGTGCTATGGACAGTGGGGTGAGGGGGTAAGGGGCCAGCAGGGCATAAGAACTACTGGAATCCTGAATTTCCTTTTCAACTGCAGAGGTCATATCGCTGGGAATAAATCCCTGAGGCAGGCAATTTTGATTCTGAGCAACTTAACATGGGGAACTTAGGGTGGGGGGCGTTGGGGAGAAAGTAAAGTGAAGGAAGACCAGATGAGACTACGAAAACTCCTGCAGTTTTGTGGTGGTTATTTCCATTCGTCTGAATAAAGGTTAAAATCAGTTACATCCTGTACTACTTAAATTACTCATTTAGGCAGGTCTTAGCTCGGTAGAAAGGGTTTTTTTTGTTTTGTTTTGGTTTTGGTTTTGGTTTTTTGTTTTTTAATGTTTCAGCTTTACTGAAGTACAATTGACATATAAAGTTGGAAGATATCTGATGTGCCCATTGGGACGATCTGACATATGAGGACGTTGTGAAGGGACACCACCCACCCCCCTCCCCCGCCCTGTCTTGTTAATTAGCCCATCCGTCACCTCACAGAGTTCTCTCTTATTTGTGTGTGAGAGAACATTCGAGTTCTACTCTCCTAGCAGATTTCAACTAGGCAGTACGGGGTTGTCAACCATTGTCACCGCGCTGTACGTTAGACCCTTGGAGTCTATTCATCTGAGAGCCCAATGTGTGCACCCTTTCCAGCTCCCCGCTCTTTCCCCCACCCCCCAGCTCCTGGCAGCCACTTTTCTACTATTTCTATAAGTTTACTTCTTTTCTTCTTTTTAAGATCCCGCCTTGCTAGAAAGTTTTAAAAGATCTCCTTTCTCTACGATTCTAGTGAAGAATTTGTCAGTTAGTTTTGCTCTCCTGTAGATAAGATAGACATGGGCGATCTCCCTTTTCTGTAACTGCCTCTCTAGCAAAGGGTTCAAGTAACTTCTTGAGTTTTTTGATTAGGATTTAGGGTTCTTGATTTCTCCCTTCCGTGTCCTCTGTGGTCCTGGAGGTGCACGATACTGTTGATGCTTGATGAGATGAACAAAACCCAAAGCAAATACAAGAATAAATTTTGATCCATCTTAGTTAGTCAACGTAGCTCAGTGCAGCATTTTACAGTTGATGCAAGGTACCTTGGAGGCTTTGCTTCAGCAGTGACCCTTCCCCTTGTCTGTGTACACCCAACACAGCACTCATTCATTTATTAACCAAATGTTTATTGAGTGTTCTTTGTACCCCAGCCAAGAGCCGGGATCTGGAGATGCATATAGCAGCAAACAAAAGAGATGCGCCTCTGGTCTAAGGGGTTAGAGTTTGGTGGGGGGCCCTGACATTAAACAGATACTGACCCAACTCCTGTATAATTAAGAACAGAGCAAGTGCTGTGAGGGGAGAGCATGGGGGCTACAAGATGTGTAACAGGGGACCTCCATCTGGCCTTGATGTCAGCGAAGCCTTTCCAGGGAAGGAGGATTTGAGCAGAAACACCAATGCTCGATGATGTTAACTAGGCCAAGGGGGCTTTGGGAGCAGAACGTCTTTGAGAGAACAAAGAGAACTCTAGACAGTGTGTCAGTGAGGTGTTCAAACGGAGGTGTCGAGTAGGCAGAGTGCAGAGGGAGGGCTCCATGGCACCCAGCTGTGGGAGGTCTGGGATGAACCTTCGAGGAGAATTCAGACCCCCTCCCCCATGGGTCCAGTCCCTGTGCTGCTGTGAACTCTCCATTCTCTGCCTCCAGGGCTGCACCTTGAGAACCCACTATTGTTTGATTAGCCATTCTTTCTCCTCCTCTGCCACGCCTTCTTTTTTCTAACTATTTCTAGCAAAAGGACCCTCCCTATACTATGCCCAGATGAATGAGAAAATGTCTCCCTTGAAAGATGGTATATGTAAATATTCTTACAGTGATGCCAGAATGTAAGAGTAACACATGGTTAATAGGGAATAATTACATTTTTTTTTAAATGGAGGAATTTCTGGGGCTCCCGGGTGGCTCAGTTGGTTAGGTGGCTGCCTTCGGCTCGGGTCATGATTCCAGGGTCCTGGGATCGAGCCCCACATCGGGCTCCCTGCTCAGCAGAGAGCCTGCTTCTCTCTCTCCCCCTGTCCCTGCCACTCTGCTTACTTGTGCTCTCTCTCTAGCTCTCTGTCAAATAAACAAATCAAATATTTAAAAAAAATAAATGGAGGAATTTCAGACTCCATGGGAGGGCAGTGAGCTGGGGGAGGAGATTTCTGGCAGGAAGATATGTCTCAGGAGCTTAAATAATGTCTTATAAGATACCTTTGAAGATGCCTTGTCATGCTCATCCCTCTGTTATAGGGCCAAGACGCTCTGCTCATAGCGACATTCCCTATTTTGGAAAATAGTTATTGAGGTATGAAGCAAAAGTCAAGATGTGTCAGTAAGTGTTCTAATGCACATCCAAGTGATGGTGGTACCATAAGATATCTGCATTAATTCAAGAAGAGTTCGGACTACATGGGAATAGACGCCCAATTCCATTTATTTTAAGGGAAGCAGGCACATTCTATTGATTGGCACGTCGTGTCTGTATTCAGATGATTAGTGATGTAGCAAACCTAGTATGTTCAAAACAATATCCTCACTCCCCGCCTTCCCCCCCAGGAACCTGCTCTTTCCCAGGTTCCCAGTTTGCTAAGTGGCAGCCGCAGCTGTCCAGATCTTGAGATCCAACCCCGTGGAGTCATCCTGGGCTCCTGTCCTTTATTCACACGGGCCTCCAACCCATCAGCAAATCTTTTCAGCTCTACCCGGAAAAATGCATGCAGAATCCAAGTGCTCAGGACCCGTCTGCCTTGAATCATCACAGTAGCCTCCAAACGGCTTCCCGCTTCTGCTCTGACCTCCCCCACTGCCAACCCTCTGTTCTCCACTTGGCAGCCGGAAGGAGCTTTCTGAAACATAAGTCAGACCATGTCTTTCTTCCACTACCATTTCATTCTGAATATAACCCAGACCCTCACCATCACCTACAAGGCCCTCACCTGCTCTGGGCCCTGGCTGCTACTCTCAGCTCATTTCCTCCCATTTTCTGTCTACCCCCATCGTCCGGTCTCCCTGCTTTACTCAAACCTTCCAAACAAGCTCCCATTCTGGGCCTTTGGACATAAAGTGCTTCCCTGCCTGGAACATTCCTTCTCATCCCTGTATTTGCTTTTGCCTAGTCCCACTTTTTTCCACGATTCTGCTCAGATGTCACTTTATCAGAGAGACCTTCTCCAACGACCAGAGATAAAATAGTGCCCATTCCTTTCCTGTCTTGTCTCTTTACCCTCCTTCTTTCCTTCCATTAGCACTTGGCGCTCCTGGAGATATATATTTCTTTTATATTTGCTCATCTGTATCTGCTTTGCTAGAATAGAAGCCTTACAAGCGTGGAGTTATTGGCTCTTTTGTTCACTGATCTCTCTCCAGCCCTTAAAATTAATGCTCAGCAAGTATTTGGTGAATGCACAAAATGGCCAAATTAATATTTTTTTTCTGCTCATTCTTTTTTTTTTATGGAGGTATAATCAACCTATAACATGGTATTAGTTTCAGGTGTACAATGAACTTAGATTTTAAAAACTAGAACTATATCTATAAATATATATAGCATAATTATTTTTTAAAATATAAGTCTACTGGGGAAGGCTTTTAAAGAAATTCTTCCATTTTTGTTTGGATGATGTTTTGATATGTTTCAAGGACATTAAAGCATAGCTGAAAAAAAAAAAAAACAACCCAAAACCCTAAAGCGGAAACATTCCCAGTGTTGTGTTTTGTTTTGTTTTCCCGATGAGAAAGGGAAGGAGTAGTATTCATGACTTTTTGGTTACTTTGAAATTTAGGGTCCCCTTTGAAATGTGTACTATGCTGGGTCCTGGTAAAGAGGTGCTGATTGACTCCACAGAAGGAAGAAACTTCTATGATCTTGATGGCTATTTGATGAAAACCTTTAGTGTCTTGAGTAAATCATATGCGTTGCTTTAAATACCATTCTAGAAATTGAAAAGAATTTTAAAACCATACTTGTTAGTGGTAAGATGAAGAAAAAAAAGAAAATGTAAGTATTCAGAAATGCCATTTTTTGGGTCCAGATTTTGTTGATTTTTTTTAAGATCTAGATTAGGATTTTATATGATGGAATGCACTAAGTCCCAGAGAGAGGCCCTGTAATAGTGGGTTCTCTCCCTGCCGTGGAGGATGTGTGTGTGTGTCCACGTTGCATTGCAGAGGACACAGCGCTGGGCCACAGTGCAAGAGTGTGAACTTTACCCTTGCTCTCA